GCAAGAATTGGAAAACATTTCTCTTTTAAAACTACAGCAGTCTGTCTCCTCAGTTCCCAAATGCTTTATGAGTGTTGTTAAAAGAGGAGGAGATGAAACACAGTGGTAAACATGCCTCAGTCCCAACTTTTTTGAAATGTCTTGTTGGCATCAAATGCAAAATTGGCATATATAATATCAAAAAACAATAAAATTTCTCAGTTTCAACATTTGATATGTTGTCTTTGTGGTATTTTCGTTTAAATATAGGGTTTACATGATTTGCATATCATTGCATTCTATTTTTATTTACATTCTGCACACAGCATCCCAACTTTTTTGAAATGGGATTGTATACAAAATACTATTAAAACAATATTTCTTATTAAAACTTGAATTTTGTTTGATGAAATAGCAGTATTTGATTATTTAATGTATTAACACATAACAATGTCTACATTGTATTTTGACATGTAATGATTAATCAATAACAATACTACTACTACTACTACTAATAATAATTATTATTATTGCTGTATTTGTTATAGTATCATTGTTATTATTATGCAACTAAAATTACACAACAACAAAACAACAACAATAACAATAGTATATAGTGATAACTTGGTATAAATGTAACAAAATATTTATACTATTCTAACACATACTAAGAATATAATTTAATAGAATAATGTTAAATATTAATATTTAATGTATTTAATTTAATGTAAGCAATGTTTACATTATTAAAAAGTCTAATAACAATTGCCATTGTATGAACTCACTTGACTTAATTTTTTAAGTCAAGTAAGTTCATGTTGCACACAAAGAGTTCTAAATATTTCTACACAATTTATGAATTGCAGCTCCTACTAATCATAAGGGTCAAATCTGGCAAGACTCGTCCCTCAACATAACATAGTTACATGCAAAAGTTTGGACGTCCCTAATTGCAGTAGCTTTAAAACAATTAATCAGAATGCACCAAACTTGTACATAATACATTCTGAAAACAAGTTTTCTGAAATAATTTCAACAATGAGTGCGTTTACATGCACTCAGTTATGCGATCATAATCGTATTTCTGCAGTTATTCGATCATTCAAATGGTCATGAAAACACCATACTCCGATCTAGAAATCTGATTAAGAAATCTGATAAAGTGATCTTAATTTTAGCTCAGTAATCAGATTTTTCAGTGCATGTAAACTCTTACCCGGATTTATTTTGGATTTCTCAGTATGCACATGTGTGGAACAGACGGTAGTGTGGCATGAAGTTTGAGGTTTACATTAAGATTACGTCACGTCTTCTTCTGTGAATTTATTGGCCGGTTGCAAAGCAGAAATCAGATTACTGACTCATGTAGACCCGTAGTTTTCATGTTATATGTCAAGAGCATATAAATACATTGATCTGATTACTGACAAAATCAGATTTTCTTCAGTTATCGGATTAGTTCAGTGCATGTAAACGCACTCAATGTTTGAAATTTTGGAATGCTTAAAAACAACTTTATTAAATGCATCTCACATGATGTACTACAACCTTTAAATTAGCAAGTGTAAGTTCTGCTAAATTCTTGTGACAGGTTTATGAAAATTAATTTTGAACAGTTTGCTCCAAAACAAGTTGTACTTAATTAAGTGCTACCAATATGACATACATAAACTCTTGTACTGGTCTGCTGGCCTGTGGTATTAGGTTTTTTGTTAGTTAATTTAAATTTTCAACTTTTGAATTTTTAACAACATTGCTCCAGAACAAGTTGTACTTAATCAATTGCAACCAACATCTCTTATATTGACAACTTGAACATGTCAAAATGTGATAAGAGTCAGAGGTCATTTTGAATAGTAAATAGAAATCTAAGGTGGTATGTTTCTCTACAACGCACCATTTCTTATCCTACAACTCTGAATTTGTTTACGTCTGAACGAATGAACTATGCAGAAAATGTTAAAAAATCTGTGAAGTCTTGAGTTATGCTGCTACAGCTAGAGCTATCCATTGTACATTGTATCCACTGTATTCCTACAACTATTTTATGTGAACTGTCTAGTTAAATTAATTACAGAATAGATTACACTGCATTTTGAATGGTGTTCAGGATTCTAATATTTCTCATCGTCTTAGATTCAGCACATATCCTTCATTGATGTTGGGTTTGCACTTAAGTAAAACTAGTTTTAGAATAAGACTCCTTAACTTCATATTCTGCCCACTGAAGACTATATTGGAAGCTGGTATTCTAAATTTCTTCATAATAAACCTAACTTCTGCAACACAACACAAACTCTAGAACAGAATACTTGACTTGAATATAGTATCTTACCAGGAAGATCTGATGCCTCATTCCTCCCAGCATTCCCAGCAACACCAGCTCAAACCCAACATCGATGAAGGATATGTGCTGAATCTAAGACAATGAGAAATATTAGAATCCTGAACCTCATTCAAAATGCAATGTAATCTATTCTGTAATGAATTTAACTAGACAGTTCACATAAAATAGTTGTACGAATTGTCCCCAAAATACAATGGATAGCTCTAGCTGTAGCAGCATAACTCAAGATTTCACTGATTTTTTTACACTTTCTGCATAGTTCATTTATTCAGACGTAAACAAAGTCATTCAGAGTTGTTTGATATGAAATGGTGCGTTGTAGAGAAACATACCACCTTAGATTTATATTTACTATTCGAAATGACCACTGAACCTACACGTGTTCTGAATGTTTTATGAATAATGTTGATAATGGTAAAATATTTTGCCTTAGCATGTCTGGCATGTAGCTTTCTGTTATGAATGGATTAAACCAAATGTTTTAAGCCAAAACCTTATCTAAAATCTATTGTAAATCAATGATACATCTGTTAGGCAACATACTCATAACAATTTTGTGTATTTTTTTTTTCTGTGAGGTAGCTTTTAGAGGCACTAAATGCTTCAGATGATTGTTTTACTTGGTAATTTTCTCTAGACTGGTGCCTTTTTACATCGAACCACTATAAATTACTTTGCTTACATCGCAGTGCAGAGTTATGCAGAAATTTTGAAAAAATGGTATATGACCTTGTCTGTTTTTAGGTTTTATTGTTACATTACCATGAGCTTAGAACAGAACTATTATTACACCTGAAGCTCCAGATGTGTGAATTACAGAAAGTAATTTGCTCTGGAATTCTTACTCAGGCCAGTAAAATCTACAAACAGATTTTCTACTTTCTACAGCACTGTAAATAAAAAAACAGAACATACCTTTACATACTGTTAAACTACTAGACTATTAAATAAACATGAACAAAATTTATATCAGTAAGAAGTTTCTAAACATATTTCACACAGTTACATCACAAAATACAAGAATCTGGCAAAAAAGAAACTAAATTCGGCCTAGTAGTTTGAACACTGGCAGTATTTTTTGAAAAGGTGTTTTAGCCTATCAAAATATCTGCCTAGATACCTAGAATATACCTACCTAGAGGTTGTATTTACATGTATACCTGTAAATATGTGCTACAGTAGGACATTTCAATAAAGTAGCACAACTCGCCAGAATACCACCATAGCCCACCTTACTTTTGTGTAGTGTAGAGATATCAAATTGATGCGCAGTAGCCTTAGCATCCATGTAGCATTATTAGTATTAAGGCACTTTAACAACTTCGGAATTCGTATGATCCAGTGCGATTTGAGAGAAAATGTACACAGGGCAAAACACATAGAGTTCTGAACAATTTTATTCGCCACAGGGGGGCGATAGAGGCGATTTTTCATAAACCCCATTCATTCTGGCCTTAGAGAAATGGAGCTTAGAGCTGGAGTTCCTAATATAGGCATAAGGCGGACTACAGAATGATGCACGACTACAGTGGTCTATCGCCCCACTCAACTGCTACCTTACACACTCTATCCCCCAGGTGTCAAAATAAAGGTCTCTAATATACAAAATGGAATAATGTAAGAATACTTTTAGAATTAAAACGAAAATAACCATCTCACATTTTTATAGGTGCTTGAACCAGGGAAAAGTGGGAGTGCTGAGGGTGCTGCAGTTCCTCCAGATTTCAGTACAGTAAAACAAGTTCTGAACTTTGAGCAATAATTTGAGTGTAGTAAAGACTTGTGTGTGTTTGTTGTAGAGTTGAGTGTATATTTTTTCATATTCTATTTATATATTTTAAAAACTGCAGTAACCTGTATTTTCATTACAGCGAGCTGAATCGCTTCAGTCCACAATTCTGAGCCGCTTAGGGTGTCTTCACTAAAACACACACACTATACAAAAATAGTAATCTAAGTTTTATGAAAAGTTAAATCCGTTACAGTTTGATTGGTCGTCGCTCTGTTCATTTGCATAACGTTCCTCCAGAACAAGAGAGCAGATCTCGAAAGAAGATGTGGATCAGCGGTCTGATGTGTCAGTTATGTGTATATTTAATCTCTGGTTGTAGCAGTAACGTCATCATTTACATCACGTGCTTCTGAAAGATTTTGGCTCATTGGTTTAGAACTGCAGGACCACCTCCAGGCGAACTAAGGTTGTGCAAGGCTTAATCTGAGGAAAAAAAAGCTTGAAATATTTAAGTGCAGGTTTCTTGTTTTAAAGTTAATAAATAAACAAAGGAGCAAGTTCTGTAATACACATAATATCTTTGCATTTTCTAGGTATTTATTTATTTATTTACGTATTTATTTATGCATTTATTTATTTATTTATTTATTTATAATAAATATTTATTGGCCATCATCGCAGCATAAATCATTACTGGAAAGCAACCATGCGCAAATGCACACCTAGTAGATTGTTTACGGTTTAGTTTGTTTTGGAGTCTTAACTTCGGTTTATTTATATATATATTTGAATTTTAATCTCTTGGATTAAATTTACTCTCAGCAGAGAGACATCTGTTTCTTTTGACTGACTTGAATGAAGTTTAATTTTGTACCTTGTGTGTATTTGTGACAGCGAACAGCAGAGGGCGCCAGATCTGTTTTGGACGAAACCGCAGTGTAAGAAGTTTTGCTGTAAATCGATACTAAATACCGGATATTTAAAAGGTGATGTTGGGGAGGATCCATAAGTGTCAGACCTCCACATCGCGAACTAAAGCAGTCTCGTCCTCTTTGAGTGTTAAACCTCTTTCGTGAATGCGGTGAGTAAAGAACAGATTGTTCTTTTTGAAAATCTACGTTCTGTCTTTATTGTGGTTTTAGAAGCCGCTACTACTTAGACTAAAGAAACGACTTTCGTCATAGTTTTTTTTATGCATGTTTATACTTATAGAATAATCTTTTTATAACAGCCTGGTTAAGATGTTTTACATTTTGTTCTCACTGTAGTTCCAGTAATGCACCGTTTGAATTAGTCCAGTGCTTCCTCTCCTGTCATGCAGGCTTAATGAACTGTAGCTGTTTTTGTGTGTGCTGGCTTCTTAGCACTGTGATGAAAACAGAAGAGCATGTTCTCCCTAAAAGGATTTACCATCTACCAGCTGTGTCTTGTGTCTGTTGTCCTCGTCCTTTTCCATGGAATGCCATCTTCTTCCAGCCTTTCCAGAAGAACTTCGGAGCTGATGTCAAAATATCCACTGATAGATGGGTAATAGCTTTTTTTTCCTCTCTCTCCCTTTAGCTAGGCAGTAATGCTGTCTAGAAATAGATCACAGGGAACTTTGGAGTCTTTCAGTGTCACATTAAGCCCTTTGTACTCTCTCTCTGCAGCCATAATGACCTTGCTCTGCGCCTCAGGATGCAGAAAAACAGCTTGAGCCAACTTAATTTGTACAACTACACCAAAACGGCAACCAATATTAACAGACTTAGAGCTGCTCATGTTGGAGGACAGGTAGTATGCGTTCTAGTAATTACAGACTGTAAAAAGTGTTAATACAATGATACATACTCATATGTGTGTGTATACATCTGTGTGTCTATGTGTGTGTGTGCATCATTGTATTAACACACCAGAAGGCTGTTTTTTGTCTTGATGTAGCATGCTGTGCATTCATGGTACACTGGTTTTAATTAGCCAGCCAGTAATCAAGCCAAATATCTGACCTGTAAGGTGTCCCACAGTGGGTCCCAACCCTTCACTTGTTGGTCTTTCTCCTTCTCCCAAAATACTTGATCCAACTAATCAGCTCATTAACATGCCCATCCTGAGTAGACGCGATCGTGTTAGGGCAGAAAAACACCAAAATACGCAAGGCAGGGGTACTTCAGGACCAGGGTTAGGAACCACTGGTGTACAGTATAGGCACAAATTGGTGGTTCTACAGCATGAATTTTAGATAGATTCTTCTGTTTATCAGCCTTAACATTCACACACGCTTACTTCTGTGTGTTCAGATTCTAAAGTAAATGTAAGGTGAAATATAACTAAATGTGCTCTTCAGTCAAGACTCATGAGTTTGGTGCCTGTTGAAGATCTTTGCATTCTAGTAATTGTATGTTTATGTATTGCCGTCATGAGCTGATCAAGGCTTTAGATGAAGTCTAGCCTAATCAGATGGGAGTGGTTGCCAAAATCGTGAGAAAAGAATATGATTTCTCATCTTAAAATGTCTCATCTTATGTAGGGTCACGACTTATTTGAGATATATATTATCTGGAAAAAAATCTGGCTTTATTCTCTGTTCTTCTGTGGTCTTCTCATATTTCATAACCCTGTTTTGGTTTAGCAAATAGGAGCTTCGCATACAGGGAGATTTTTTTTCTTCCATTCAGTATATTTATAAGGGCTTGCTAGAAAATCATATGAGGCCTGTATTGTAACATAAAACCTATTGTACCTATAGTACATGGATTGAGCAGTAACTGTAATACATTTTTCCTGTGTCAGATGTTTGCGGCGTATGTGATGTGTACGGCTCAGGACATGGATGCGGTCAGGCTGACCCTGGAACAGATTGATTTGATACGGCGTATGTGTGACCAGTACCCAGAGCTGGAGCTGGCTACCACAGCAGAAGGTACAAATTCAAAAAGGTTTTTTTTCTCTTTACATTTAAAAAAAAGTGCTAATATGCAAATGAACAGTCTTGCAGTGAATTTACAGTTTTTAAATAATGCATGTGGATTTGTTATAATGACTATGTTTATAAATATATACAAAGTAGAAGATGACATATATATATATATATATATATATATATATATATAGACACTGATTTTTTTTCTCTGCATTATATGAGCACAGCAGCTGTCCTTTGTTCCAAAATTGCTTGGAATAAATCTCTTTACATTACTTTACAAGTAAAGACTGTTTTGCCTCCTCCTATGAAGTTACCATTTTAGATGTACTTTTTTTGGGCAGCAATATGTATACATCCTTATGGTTATATTTTGCAAACAGAACGACACAAATGTGCTATTAATGTGCATTTGCCGCTCATTTTTTTGTTTTTATCATACTGTTTCGATGTGGAAGTCTCAAAATGAGAGAGACATAATGGTAGGCTAATTATTGGCAATTAGAGGGAATGTCAGTTTCCGGAACAGGCAGTTCTCCACATTAAGACCCATTTGTCTAGCTCACATTCACTTGCATGAAGATTGCCTCTTTGTTATAGAGCATTCTCAAACACTGCAAACACAAGTTGCCTTTTGAGTGGGTTTTTCTGTGACACTGATGTGCTTATGTTCATATGTGTGTAGATATGAGGAACACAAAGAAGATAGCCTGTCTGATCAGCATAGAAGGAGGCCATTCAATTGACAGCAGTCTCGCAGCATTGCGCATGTTCTACCTACTCGGAGTGCGATCAATGTCCCTCACACACAACTGCAACACACCTTGGTAAGCACATACATGCACATGTCTTCATCTCTGAGCACTTTACAGTTAAAGGCTATGTTGTTATACAGTACTGACCACTTTATTGGAAACACCTACACTGTATTGACTCTTCCTGACCACTTTAATAAACCCACTTACCTTATAACTCCACTATGTTTACAATTACACAATGTTTGTTAGTCATTCTCTGCCTTACTTATCATCTGTCAGTTAACCAGATATTATTTGGGTAGTGGACCATTCTCAGCACAGCAGTGACACTGATGGTAGTACTAACTGTGACTATTAGATCAAGTCCTTCAATTTTAGCCATAAATGTCAATATATGAGGAAAAAACCTACCCCTATGATAATGCTAATTTCTAGCATCCCTATGGGATTCTAGTAGTTTGTTAGCGCCAAGCTAATGGTGATACGCATGATAATTTTTTGCCCTGTTTTAGATTAAACACAGACATCTGAAGCTTCTAAAATACATTTCATGTTTTACTTGAAGCTTGTGGCAGACATATTAGTATATGTTTTATCTTGTAGCAGCTTTACAGTGACTCAGTAGAGAGGCCTGGTATAGAGGTGCCACCACTGTTTTCCATTTCGAACAACGCATTGATTAGGCTACTGCTCCTGTTTACAGTTAGTGAACAATCTGCGACTGCCAGAAGGCCTAAAGTGACTTTTTTCTCACAAAGTTGGTTCTGCCTGTCGTAAATCAAAATGTGATTGCTGAATTCCTCTGTCACTTTGTAATTATGCTGATAGATAATCTAATGCGTTAGGCCTCCTCTTCAGCTGTTGAAGTCCTAACCAAAAAAAAAGTGCTCGCTTAGCTCTGTCTAGCTAGATGGCGCAGAGAAATACAGCTCCTGTTTGGCCAATTTTTGGCTTGGCATTTGAAGAATGTAAGCTTTTTGTCTCCATCCAGAACTCAACAATGAAACGAGCAGCCCTGTAATACTTGTACTGATTACAAGCAAACAAGCATGATTCTGTTGAATAAAAAATTACAGACATATATTTCTTAGTTCCTAGAAATCATTAGGTTTTCTCTGAAGGCCTAGAAAGCCATGAGTGTAGTAGTTTTTGCTGGGGTTTTACACACATCACTTAATGCTAAGTTGAGAACTTAGCAACACATGAACTATAGTCTCTAACTGTATACCACCAGGTGAAGCTACAATATAGGTATTTCTATTAAAGTAGCCAGAAAGAATATGTAGGCAACAGTGATTTTTAACAGAATGTTCTCATTTCAGACTGTTTACTTTATTTTCCCAACTATTTCCTTTCCTTAGGGCAGAGACCTCTTCTGTTTTTTACTCCTACTATAAGAGAGAGATCAGCGGCTTGACAGACTTCGGTAAGGTAACGAACTTTCTGTCTGTACTTTGGAAGAAAAGCTGAAGCATACAAATAAGCTCATCATGTGCAGTCAAAATAAACACAGTCATAATTTGTTTGCCTTAACACAAGAAACAAATAGTTCTTTATTTTTTTACATAATCATCTGGTCACATGCTGGAATGCTCCAAACACACATTCCTGCATACAACATGGGGAGAGGGAAAAACACTATTACAAAACCTAAATAGAAGAGACTTGCTTTAAGTTTTTCAACAAAATCTGCAGGGATATTTTCCACACCAGTCAATTCATCACCTTAGAATGAGAACATTCTATGATTGCACTTTCAAAATAGCTAACTTTAGTATATTTTAGCATGTTTAATATAATTGAACTTAGCTTTTAGTTAGATATTTCTCTGTTTTGTAACTGGTAATTTAGCTTGCTGGCTAACAAGCTAACTAACTTAAGTGAACATTAGCACTTAGCAGCAATAAATCTATTTTTAAATTACTTGTTCAGTTTTGCAGTATTACTACCCTTTCAGGTTAACTTTTGATACTATGATTTCTTTTTAAATCAGTTAAAAAGTTTAAAGGTTCATTTGAACAGGCTTCATAGCCAAGCTTTTAAGCCCTCTAAACAGTGTATTGCTGAGCTTGTGAACATGGGTAAAACATGAATTGTGATTGGTTATCCCACATTCATCAGCTACACTAATTGACTGATGTAGATATAACCTTATAACACCAACTTAGTATGCCATTTTCAAGAAGGAATCTTTTACTTTTTTTAAACACATACAAAAAAAATTATCACCACAGGAACAACAAACAGCGCTAAGTCATTAACTATAACTATATTTCAACAAAATTGTTAGATAGAACCTTATAATTCTAAGCTTGGAGATTGTTCTGAGAACACCAACAGCTTCTTTGTTTGAAGAGTGTCTTGATCTTCTCAGCACTGTGCTTGTGTCGTTATATTGCTGTATAATTAATTTCTTCCCAATTCTTGCCAGAGAATGTTGTAAGATGTATTAAAATTTGTACTTATGAACATTCATGATGCCTTCATAAAGCAAAGAGTGGAGCTTGATCTCTCAAAGATGAAAGCTTTAAATACAGTTTATCTGATGGTAACAGTTCTGGTCGTCTGTCAGGTCTTCCATAGTTGTTAGGAGTCCCATTGTCTCTGTGTATTTTAATCTTTTTTCAAACTCCACTTTTAGAAACACCTGTTATTTTCTTTCCCCTTCTGCAAGAGGATTATCATATATCTAATCTTAGCCATTTCAAAAGCACATGAAAAATAATTTTTTCTCTTTGAAGGGGAACATAATGTCATTGACACCATTGAGAACCACCATTGAGTTTAGCATGGATCACACTGTGTACTCAGTGTAAAACATTTGCTGTGACCCTCAAAGATTGAAGTTGTTTATACCTGCTAAGAATGTTTAGTTCTCATTTAAAGCTGAAGTGAAACAGAAGTGATGTGAACTTGTCATGTCAGATTGTTCATACAGAAAAAAGAAAGAGAAAATAGTGTGTGGTATGTGTTGCCTTATTGCTTATTTGGAAGAGCTATGATGAATGAAAAATGTTTTTATTACTACACAGGATTTACATATTTACTTTTTCTATGTTACAGTAAGTACTTGAGGGTGTGCTTGTGTGTGTCTGTCACCGCAGGCAGTGGTGGATGAGATGAACAGACTGGGGATGCTGATTGATCTGTCTCATACTTCATTGGCTACAGCACGTGCAGTGTTGCAACGTTCCAGAGCTCCTGTCATTTTCAGCCACTCCTCCTCCTACACCATCTGCAACCACAGCCGCAACGTTCCCGATGACGTACTTCTGATGCTGGTGACACAATGTCTTACACAATTGACCTACTAATAGGGGTTTGGATTGATAGGCCTTATTTTATAATTTTACAGTTTCACCAACCTTTTAGCTGCATTCACTGGCCATTGTATCAGGTTAATCTAGCATGAGCAATGAACCAAAACACTTTCGTCTTTTATGCTGGTCGTCCTCTGTGTGCCAGCAAAAACATCTCCAACATGACAAGGCATGAACTTTACAAGACCTCTGAAGGTGCCCTGTGGTATCTGGTACCAAGACCTTAGCAGCGTGTCCATTAAGGCCTGTATGTTGCGAGGTGGAGATGTTGTTGTACATCCCACAGATGCTTGATCGGATTGAGATCTATAGAATTTGGAGGTCAGAGCAACACCTTAAACTCGTTGTCATGTTCCTCAGACCATTCCCAAACAATGGCCCATATTCACAAAGCTTCTCAGAGTAGAAGTGCTGATCTAGGGTCAGATTCCTCCCTTATTTATTATGAATTTACTGACAGGAATAGATCCTAAATGAGCACTTCTACTCTGAGAAGCTTTGTGAATGTGGGCCAATGTGTCAGGTGTGGCAGGGCACATTATTTTACTGAAAGAGGCCACTTCCACTGGGAAATACCACTGCCATGAAGTAGTGTTCCTGGTCTGCATTGATGTTTAGGTAGGATGGCATGTGTCAAATTGATGGCCAGATGATTGTGGGGACCTAGGGTTTCTCAGCAGAACATTGCCCAGAGCAATTTGGCTTGTCTTCTTCCCACAGTGCGTCCTGACACCATCACTTCCCCAGGTAAATGGCACACACGTACCTGGCTGTCCACATGATGGGAAAAAAAAAACACTCATCAGACCAGGTGACCTTCCATTGCTCCAAGGTCCAGTTCCAACATACGCATGCCAATTGTAGAAGCTGTTGACAGTTGACAGGGGTTAGCATGGGCACTCTGACCAGTTTGTCCCTCTTTGGAGCACTGTACTCACCGCTATTGACCGAGAGCACCCCCAAGCCTTGCTATTTCGGAGAAGCTTTGACCCAGTTGTCTAGAAATAAACATTTGGCCCTTGTCAGAGTTACTCAGGTATTCACTCCTGCACATCTGTTGCTTTGCAACATGTCGTGTTTGCTTACCATCTAATATATCCCAGACCTTGACATGCGCTGTTGTTATGAGATAATCAACGTTATTTGCTACATCTGTGAGTATTCATAATGTTTTGGCACATTGGTGTAGTTGCACTTTGTATGTGTAGTTTCCGTCTGTAGCCCATCTGTTGCTATGCACAATTTAACTGCCACTCTCCCCATCCATCACTGGAAAAGGACCATCTCAAGATCACTGACCAGATATTATTAGGGTGGTGGACCATTCTCAGTGTAGCAGTGATACTAACATAGTAGAAGTATGTTATGTATGTTGCGCTGGTACGAGTGTATTATTCATTGATTTTTAAACACCTTACTGTTATTACTGGTATGAGAATAATATCCAGTCAACAATGGTTCTGTGGTCAGAAACTGACAACAGTTGAAGGATTAGAGCAGGCATCTCAAAGGCCTGTTCTGGAGGGCCATAACTTACTGATAAGAAAATGTTGTTTATATTATTTTATATTTTGTTTTGATATTAATATATTTCTTTCCCATTGGAACTGTTATGCATAATTACATAGGTTTTCTGTCTTTTAGCCTGGCTAGCTCTCACTGTGAGTTGTTCACATGCTTCAAAACGGTATTATATTACAGCCAACTACCAATGCAAGACCCATTTACATGCCACTAGTATTTTGATGTCATTGCTGAGAATGGTCTACTACCCAAATGGTATCTAGTCAGTGGTGGTTCTATGGTTTCCTTTCCTGACAAACTGTGCAGCAAGAGTTGGACTACAGTTAGTAATCATAAACTGACTGTGCCTGATAAAATGGCCAGTGAGTGTGGGGACAAGTCAGGTACCCAAATAAACTGGCAACTGATTGTATGTTGAAGTGGTTTGAACTCATAAATGAAGTTTTATCTTATTCTATCTTTGTTATTTAGCTTCTAATGTCTTTCTGGCATCAGTGTATTTTACAAGGTATCTGTTAATAATCTTTAATAAGATTGTATTCTACCTTGTTCTAAGCTGCTTTGAACAATTACTTTGTATGTCAGAAAAAGAATGGAGGGCTCATCATGGTGAACTTCCACAATGGTTTCATAGCATGTGGAGGACAAGCAAACGTCTCCACTGTTGCCAGTGAGTGCAGCACTTAATGCAATGCTTTTTTGAACCAGATTAGTAATCAGTCCAGAATAAATATATTACATCAACTCAATCAACAAAATTCTTCAGCATGCTTGAACTTTTATTCTTAAACTCACATCTCTTGCAGACCATTTTGACCATTTAAAGCATGTAGTAGGAGCGGAACACATTGGCATTGGAAGCGACTATGATGGGGCCACTGGGTAAGTGAGTGTTTCTGCTGAGTGCAGCCTGAATTCCAGCACACTCACTCACTCTGCCATAGATGGCAAACAGCTGCCCTCAAACATGCAAGGCTAAAAATCCTGTGTTTCTGCCTGTGTGTTTGTGCACATGTGCGTTTAGATTTCCTGAAGGGCTGGAGGATGTGTCTAAGTACCCTGCTCTGATAGGTGAATTGCTGTCAAGGAGCTGGAGTGAGGCAGAGTTGGCGGGCGTGCTGAGGCTCAACTTCCTCAGGGTGTTTGATAGTGTAGAGAAGGTGAGAAGCAGCCTCCTCCTCTTCAAACACCTATGATACTCCGAGACACTGTTATAAATTGACAGATATGAAACACAACTGATGTTAAGATCACAAAACTAAAATTTACTCCTGTGTTTTCTATTTGTGACAACAGAATTTGCTTGCAATTTGCACTAGGATACTAATAGGAAATAGGAAATATTCTTCTAGGAAGGATAAACAAAGACCCTTGGTCCACATGATTTGGGAACATTTGCATAGACCATAAATACCTCTCTTCCTTTTCCTCTATCTTCTATTTCCTGTCTTGTTTTTCTGCCGTACAGGTACGTGATGTTCTACACGACACTGCCCCCGGTGAAGTTCAGATACCCTTTGCAGAAGCCAATAACTCCTGTCGTTTGGAGCTGAAGCCTCCAGTCATCCCCCAAATCAGGAATGATTTCAGTGTGCATGGAGATTCTCCTTTACTGTCAGTGAGTGCTTTGTTTTGGGCTATTCTCCCACTTCACTGTCTTGTGCTGCACTGGTAAAGCAACATAGTCATTTCATTGTATTTATGAGGGCAACATATCTATATAGTTCTGCTAATCAATCAAATGTAAATGTGTAGCATGTAAATGTTATAGCATTCCAAAGAAACATCAACTTGACTGGAGTGTTCCATCCATCTGCCTTTGAATATGAGAGTTTGAGGGTTTTGACATCACTGTTGACTGTCAGTTTCCATCGGCCTCTTTTATGTATTCTGACTTTCTGATAACAGGCAAACTAGGGTTGCAACAATATGCAAATTTCATGATACAATATGCATTGTCATTTTTGCATCACAATACATTTCAACACAGAATTAGAACAAAAATGGTAACATAACTTTCACTTTTATTTAGGCTACTTTTTTGGTGATTTCCAAAATTTTGTTTTTTTCTCTGTAGTTCCCACTGTTGTCCCACAAAGACAACAGTGCTTATTGAAGGGATAACTGGCACAAGTAATTTTCTCAGAACAGCAAAAGTTTAAGATCTATATTACATGATGCACGTGTGTTTGGCAAACACATGTTATGGCTTATAAAATTAAAAGAAAACACAAAAAAATGTAGACTATGAGGCCAAATAGTAAAAGTAAATGAACTGAGCATTTACAATCAGATCCTGTGTTTCTACATAAAGTTTGGCTCTTACGTTTTGGCTGAAAATTAATATGAGAGGGGATTTTCTAACATGGCTTAATCACTCCTAGCAAACTGTGAAATCCACACTCTCTACAACAGAAAATTGAATAATGAGAAAAAGTGAATATTAACACGCATATTGTAATGCCCCTAGGCCGAATGTATATAAAATTGCATATATAACTATTTGGAAACATTTTTATGCTTGTTGTATGCTTATAATACATGTAACTGTAAACTCAAGACACATGTAGCCAACCTACCTTAGATGGTACTGTCTGTGGTGACTGCATCTAAGACATTGCCTTGGTTAGGGAACAGGTATTGTTCACTACAGCTTTATTCATAGTTATTTGCACATACAGTATTGATAGGCAATTACAAATGTAAACTATTTTTGTACTTTCTAACAAGTACAAGGATTGTAAAGTACTTCACAAGTACAGTATAGAAAAAAAGGTTTATGAAAATATACAGTTTTTCTTTTTTGACATATGGTGGCAACAGGCATTGTTATGCTTTTATTCTAAAATGATGTTTGTGTAGTTTTGAGTGTAACAGATATTAAAGAGCTGAATGTATTTGTGATGTATCCAACCAGTAAATTAACACTTGTGTTCAATGTCCTGGATCAGTCCAACAATTTATGGAAAATAGGCATGTAAATTATATAACAAGATTCAGGAACTAAGATGGGTTTTCAAGCAATTCATACAATCACATTCAAAACTAGCTTGCAGTGTGCTCGCATGTATATAGTGCATTTAAGTGCATGTAAAAGGAAGGTGTGCAACAGGAGAGCAACAAACAGATGTGCTTTCCATGAGTCAGAAGAATAGTGTCTGTGCTTTTACAGCTTTCATGATCTATTATCTACTTTCCATTATCTACTATTGTCATCATGTCTTCATCAGTATGTTCATTTTGCATTTGGGACCTAAACATTGGACAGAACATGGTCTGAAAAAACTCAAAACCTGACCTGACACCCCTGACTTTATTTATTAATTATATCAGGCTTTACAGGGTGACTCACAGCAGCACACAGATACTATGTTTAACATGTGTTTTCTTGATTTAGTAATGCTACCTCTTTTAGTTTCAACAAAAAAACTGAAATGTGAATTTTAATTATCATGTACTTCTTATGACTGACATAGCAGAAAGGTTAGTTATGTTGTTAAGAAAGCTACTTACCTCCAAGCATAGCAACCTAAACCTATGTTACCCCACCAGTGTTGTTTTTCAAGAATTTGTTGCAGTAAACAATCTTGCTATCTGTATAGTTTCTAATTGAGGCTTTAAAGGTAAATTATCCAGTCATTCAGAGTGGTTTGGTGTGAATTACTCCATTCCACAGAAACAGAGTCAGAATTGATCACAGCGGTGATGACAAGAACCAGACATCCGAAGTTTTCATGCCTCAACCAAAATCTACTAAAATGTAATACATGAATTGTTAATGAATACGGTGCCTGAAGGATGAGACAATTGAAGGATCAGTTAAAATGCAAATCCTTTGCTGTCAATGACTGCCTGAAGTCTGGAACCCATAGACATCACCAGGCTCTGTGTTTCTTCCCTGGTAATGTTCTGCCAGGCCTTTGCAGCTGTCTTCAGTTCCTGCTTGTATGTCAGTTTTGCCTTTATTAAGTGAACGGCATTCTCGATTGGATTAAGGTCAGGTGACTGACTTGGTCATTGCAAAACATTCCACATTTTGGGAAGGTCTTGGGTTGGGTTGCTTGCGCAGTAAGCTTTGGGTCATTGTCCATCTGCACTGTAAAGCACTGTCCAATAAATTTCGAACCATTTGGCTGAATCTGAGCAAATAATATAGGCCCACTTTAGACTTCATCCTGCTGCTCTTTTAAGCAGTCACATTATCAATAAATAGATGGGAGCCAGTTTAATTAGCAGTGTGAAGCTTTTTCTTCAGCAGGGAAAGAATTCTTCTGTCATTCACCACAGTTGTTTTCCATAGTCTTCCAGGCCTTTTTGTGTGTCTGAGCTGACTAATGCGCTCTTTCTGTTTAAAATGTTCCAAATACTAGATTTGGCCACAGCTAATGTTTTTGCTATCTCTCTGATGGGTTTGTTTTGATGTTTCAGCCTAATTATGGTTGCTTCACTGGCAGTGACAGCTCTTTGGAAATGGACATATTAGGAGTTAACAGAAACACTCCAAATGCAAATGCCACACTTGAAATCAACTGTAGACCTTTCTATCTGCTACTTGATGATGAAGTGAAATAATGAGGGAATAACACACACATCTTGTCAAGGAACAGCTAAGCAGCCAATTGTCCAATAATTTTGAGCCTCTAAAATGGGGTGCTATATATTAAAATGGTTGTAATTCCTACATAGCTCGCATGATTTGGATGTAAACATCTTCAAATTAAAGCTGAAAGTCAAATAGTTATAGACCTGAATGTATATGCAGGTGGCTGTAAGACAAAATAGTCCTCAATGAAAATTAGATATTCAGAATTACCTCTGTTTTACGATTTTACCCATTTACCAACATTATATAAACTCAGAACTCAGAAGACGCATACAGGTTCATTAGTGGATTTGGATAGTAAATAGAATGCCTCTATTTCTATTGTAGACATCAACCTCTGGTTCCTGTCACCACAATCAGTCTTCTGCAATGAACCATTTCACATCAAAACACTGTGAAACTGTGAACTTTGCTTACATGATTGAATTATGCAGACCATTTAAAATATGTGTGGAATTCCCTTTTAATATCTTTATCTATATTATTCCTCTTTAATGGTGCAGGCCACATTGACTACATTCTGTATCAGTTTTCACATATAATGTATGATATTGTAAGTTTTTACGTTTGATTTTTATTAATATGTATTTTCTATATTGCAATATTTATAGGGTGTTTAAAGAGTAATACATATAATTTGACAGTAGAGTAGTAATGACATATAAACCTGTATTAGGGTAATGTTTCTGTACTGTCCTTTCCCTGGGGCTGTGTATTTCAGATATGTTCAGAAAATTTGAATATGTCTTGTAAATATGATAATGGCAAAATTAGTTAGATTAAAAGCAGTAGAACATTGTAGGCTGTTGGTCAGTTAGGAGTGTTCCACTTTTATTTCTGAATTTGCATATGGCCTTTAGACTGGTTTGCATCAACACAGAGTTTTAGTTCATGGTAGATCGTCACAGAGCCAGTCATGGTGGCTCTTTCACCTTTTATTTAATATTATTTATTTATTTTTACTGTGTAACAAATGCATTTGTTTGTCTGTACAGATATATCATTCTACAAACAATAATAAAGCTTTTACATAGCAATCATATATGCTTTCAAAACTTCTAGCTGTGTAAATGCAATTTTGAGTTTGAAAACGTGTTTCATTTACAAATTAAAAATCAAATCTCGTTTTCAAAAGTCCAGTACAAAAAGTCATAATTTATAAAAATCACTGTGTTTCATCACCCAATATCCACATCTGAATAAAATCCCACTGCTTCCTCTCTGATCATTATCTACAGCCTAATGCTCTCAATACAATGGGGAGTAAAAGTAAATAAATAAGAAAATAAATAAAGCATAACTTTTCAAACCACTCTGAGTAAAATATGAGTTTGGCACATGTGATCTAAAAGTCAGTCTAAGGGGAAAAAAGCTAATGCTTAACAGAAGCTTATGGACTAATATACATGCACCCAATTTAAACTGGGTTAACCATGATTCAGCATTATTTCTAATCAGTAGATTCAATACATGCTCCCATTAAAGGAACACATTACTATTTATTTGTGCAGACTCAGAAACTTCCCTTGTACTATCACTACAAAAAATACTGTGCAGAAGTCAGAGACCACTCTTTCATTTATTCAGTTTCCTGCCAAAACGGCCATTAAGAACAAGTTGTTTATTTAATATGGTTGTAATCCTCTAACACTAGTAAGTAAGTAAGTATATCACATGTCAATATTTAATTTGTCCACTATTTACTTTTGTGCACACTACATCCACTTTAACTCTTCTGTACTTCCCATCTCAAAACCAGTGAGTTACAGCTGTGCCCTTCCAATAAAAGCTTTTCCCAAAGGAGTCACTGACATTATGTTCCCATTCAAAGAGACACTAACATTTACACAGACTACTACCCAAACACACCTTAGCTGCCCTTCAGATTACTCTCTCAAGCACATCTAAAATGACTAAAGGAGATATTAGAGATTAGATATAAGCATAAGGAAGGGGAAGGTCAAAGGAAAATAACTGAAAAAAAGTAGTCCCCTAAAACTATTATAAAAAAAGATATTAAATCTTGAGAAAACAGAAAAAGCAGATAATTTCTAAGACTGAACTTTGGATGTACGGAAAAATACCCCTGCAGATTTCTTTGAAACACTGGAAGCAATTCTCCTGAACAAAATGGAAGCTGTTATAAAGGTGAAGAGTGGACACATGATGCTGAAAACACTGATGTTTAGTTGTTGAGGCTTCTGTGCAATTTGTTGTTGCTTCTTTTGTCCTGACCTTGGTGGTCATTTTGACAGAAAATGAAATAAATGGAAGGGTGATCTGTGACAGTACAGTTTTAAAGTGGCATTTCTGATTAGTAATGGAAAAAGTTTGATTTGGTCTGCTTGACAGGCATAGCTTCAGATGTCTTTTCTAGGAAGTAACAAATTCAAAGTGCCTGAATCATCAACTGAGATATGTTTAAGTGTTCTGTTTCCTGGAAACTTGCCATGCATTTTATTGCTGGGCATGATTGACATCTTGCCTTGGAGCACTGTGTGTGGTGTGGGCGTATTTCTTTCAACACTTGGCTAAATGCTGATACTCTCTATGGTCTGCTGCAGCAAAGAATGTGTCCACATTGGTTCATAACTGCTTCAAATGGATCCCAAATTACACTTGTATATGAAGTGAAATCAATGTATCTTATGATACAGTTCAGTGTAGAAATCTTGCATTAAAAAATCTATAGATATATGATATCTAGATTAGTATTCAGGTAATATCTGTATTGTGCTTCACCATTCTCAAACATTTAGGGGCAAATCTGTTTCCTAGTCCTGCGTTGACCTTTTAGGAGTAGATGGTGATGACCTCACGACCTCCTCCCCTCACAAGCAGTACTCTCTCAAGTCCTTCAGTCAGCACCTCCAGGAACTCCATATCTGAAAAACTTGAGTTAGGGAAGATGCAGACTCTACAGAATCTAAACTATGCAGAATCTCTGCCTCTAAATGATTCTGAAAGTCTTTTCTTTTAATACTCTATGTGTATATGCTCTATGTGGTAACCTTCTTGAGTAAGCCACTGTTTTGCACTGAGCATAGGATACAATTCTCATCGCCTTCAGGGTTGCGTGGAGGCCCAGGCATGTTCAGCAGCACCAGCCTGGCGTCATGTGAACGATTCACAATAACTTCATTGAGCTTTACTGCTGTGTGCATTCGGCGCACATTGGATTGATCTCTGTCCAGCACACAAACAGATGAACACACAAATAAGAAAAGCAAATTCACACAAAACTGCATAAAACACTGCATAAAAAAACATTGGCCCATATTTATCAGGCACCTCAGAGTAAGAACCCTAATCTAAGGTCAGATTGTATTAGTCCAGTCAGTTCTGTTCAGTGTGATATAGTGTCAGATCTTTGTTCTCAATCTAAGAAGCATACAGCATATAGTTGTACACAAAAGTTTGGGTGCCTTTTTTGTTGATTTTCTAAGTGAAAATAAATACATTTATTTTCATTTATTATATTTATTATTATTCTTTACAGAGGACACACATTTTAATGCATGATTACTGTTTATTTGCTGCCTGTGCAAAAGTTCTATTTTATGTGTTATTGTTTTCCAATATGTTAAACTCAAATAAATAGAAATTAGCAGAACAATGACATCTTCATATAATGGGACACCAAATTTCCCTTGATTTTTTTTTTTTTAAATAAAGGGGTTTGAAGTAATATGTAAGCACTGTTAAAGTTCAAAGTATGAAAGCATACCATTTGCTATCCAGTCCATGCAATCTACATAGGGAAATTTAAGCAAAAACAGCCTTTGAATTCATTGTTTCTGTGATGTCATGAAAACCAACACATTTACAAACAGAGTTCATAAGACATCAGTGATAAAGGCACAGTAACGAAAAACAGTCGGTTTAAATCGATAAGCAATAAAGGGAGGTTGGAAAATGGTCATATAAGAATGTATTATGAAACCATACAAATGTTTTTAGTGGATCTCAAGAGGGAAAATAAAATACCAAAAAAAAGTAGGATATGGGCCCTTTAAGTTTGTTCCCTGCAGAGGGTGCTTTAACTTATTTTCACTTTGAAAATCAACAACATGTCATTTGACTGGAACTGTTCAAACGTTTGCATATGACTGTAGCACTGCACAGACCCATCTGACAGCGTCCAGAATGCAATGCACTTACAGACAGATCCACTCTCTTTTGGCAAGAAAAGATAAAGAGGAAAAAAAGAGATTAGCAACTTCAAAACAGATACCAAACTAGAAGAAGAGTTAGCATGCAAAACGTTATCAGAAAGATCAGCATGACTGGCCTGCTTTTGTTTCTGTACTCACGGCTTAATACTAATAAGTTCTCTGAAGGTTTCTGGAGCATTGTTTCGGGTTCGTCTCTCTGCATCCAGCTTGTCCTTGGTCCATGTCATCTGGATCTTCTCAGGAACTACATCTAGAGATTCCTCTTCTTCATCTGAGTACAAACTGCCCATTCGCACCAAAGAATGTCTGTCCTTCACCAGCTGGGCCTAGCAGGAACATTAAGTAGATTAATGCCAGAGCACGGAGCTTTTTAAGGTTTTGCCTTGCTTTTTTGGTTGAGATCAGAGTCTTGAGGTAAGAGAAATCCACGACTAAGTATTATTTGAGTTGTAGTAAATGCATAGTCAGGGTAATAATGGTGTCTATGCTATGACGCAGTAACCAGATACTGAATCAAGCAGATACATTGCACATACCTCTCTGTTCCTCTCAGCACTGGACAGTCTCATCTGCCTTAGCATCTGTGACCTCTGCTCCATCATTAGTGTCCTCTCATATGTGTATGCTGAGATGTCACTATCATGCTACAAAGAGCAAAAAACAACATTGTTTAGTGGTAAGTTGCAGGAGACTTGAAAGTGAAAAGCAGGACACATCAAAATAGGTAAAATAAATGTCTTTATACAGCCATATGCAAAAGTTTGGGCACAAAGTACATGGTTTTGTTGATTTTCTAAGTGAAAAGGAGTATACATCTTCTGCACATTTTAATGCACACATACTGTTTATTTTACTAAATATAATATATTGTAAAAAATAAAACATAAAATGTGGCCTTTGCAAACATAATGGCACATTTAATATTTAATCTTTTTCCAAGATGTTGTATTTATATTTAAATATATATTTAAATATTTGTCCAGGCGTGTCCAAACTTTGGCATTCAACTGTATGTAACAATTTTGAGGTAGAATATGTTAAACCGTTTTGGAGTTCATACCATTTCCACCACCTCCACTTCCGCCTCTAATCTGAGCTGGTACAGGAAAGTTGCCAGATCCTTCTTCATCTGAATACTGTTATCATCCATCTGAGCCACTGTAAAGATGCGCATCTTACACTTGCGCCAAACCTAAAAAAACAAAATATGGAGATCATGAGGTAGTGGTGGAGAATTCTCCAATTTTTTTCAAATGTCTGTGTAATTACAAGGTTAAGATGTAAACAAAGTCATTCAGAGTGATTTGATGTCAAATAAGCCATTCCAGAGAAACATTCCAGAATGAGAACGAGTCAGAATTGTTCACAATATTAGCTATTTCCATCCACTTTCTGTGCAGAGTGCAAGCAATAAAATTAAAAAAATATGCTATTTTTTGTTTCCATCAAACACCCTTTTGGTGATAAAAATGCTTTATGTAATGTCATTTCCTGCCAAAAACTGTTGCTGCATAAGTTTTGGTTTATTAATAAAAAGGTTTTCATTTCATGTATGTCGCAACTTGTACTTTAGATTCTCTGACTTCTCCATACCCCTCACTGTGAAATGTAATTACGTTTAAAAACTTGGAACACATGTAATTTTACTGGTCACTTTGGATGGTACATAAAATAGTTACATTTGCATTGTAGATATTGAGACCCCTGAATCCTATCACCACCACTGTGAAGACTCAGTAAATTTCTCTACAATGCACTATTTCACATCAAACCACTCTGAATGCCAACAGTTTGAAAAATTGGTGGAAATCCCCTTTCAGGTACATTTAAAGAGCTCTTAAACCCTATTTAAACCACAAATAATGAGCTCTGGTGCTGAGGTCTCAGTAGATATCTACCAAAAATAAGCAACTAAATTCCTTCAGTGCCTTTAGACAAAGTTTTTAAAAGCTGAATGCGAACCTTGTGCTGTTTGAGGAGAAAGGGCAGCAGCATGAGCATTCCTCCATCATGGACTATCCACCAGACGTCAATGTGCCCATCAGTAAAGCGCTCATGGTTGCTGGGGTAAAACGACACATTCTTTGGCACCATCAGAGCCAGGTGGGCAGCCGTGGTACAGCGGACTGTGTCTGCAGTGATAAACAAAAGTTGTGGAAATTCTGACTAAATTCTGAGAAAATTCCAGGTTTTGAATTTTTGGTTGAAAGTTCAGGAGATTTTACATTTCTGGAATGCCATTGGAATCAGGAAGCCCCTACACTGGGAACAGTGAATATTTACTCATACTTTTAACATACTTTTCATTTCCAATAATAAGTATATGGCACTTGTACTTCATCTGAGCCTTTTTAGAATGAAAACTATTGGTAACCTTATGGACAAAGACAAAGACAAGCACTCACTAATGAAGGTTTTCCATGCTCGAGGATCCTCACTCTGTCTCCAGCCATATGGCCAGCCCATAACTACTGTGTTATGTTTCATTCCACCCAGTCCACAAGATTGGATGAGGTGGGAAATTCCCTCCCGCACCTTTGAAGCCACCACCACCTGGCAAAAGCCCTTTACTCTCTCTATTTCCATCATGTTCTTAATTGCCTGAAAGAAAAGAGACACAGTGCAACAATTTATAACAGGGACCCTCTGGTCTATCATGTTTCCAGTCAGAATTTTGGGTTTTACGTTTGCTGTTGATATATCTCATGTCATATTCAATAGGGTAAATGATGTGCTTGTTGGATGCATGCTTTATAAGGTAGTGTTGTGTTTCTGTTAACCTGTGTTCTTGTTAATATGTGCTTAAACTTGTTATTATTTTGTTTTTTTTATATGGTGCTGTATGTAGAATAATGACTGTACTGCTGTCAGCCTCGTTTGGAAAATGTATTGTTTGGCAGCTTGTTATTGTTTTTATGCAAAAAAACTGTTGTTTTATGTGCAGGTCAACACAGTTCCTCCTAAATAAAAGCAAAGTCTGTCATATTTATCAGAAACAAGTATTTGCATTCCTATCTAATTCAGTACAAGCTTTTTCATTCCAAATTGTATTATCAGCATAGCAATTTGCATGGAAAGTTCTTTAAAATGTAACATTAATTTCAGAATCTTTTAGTATTTGGGATGTGCACCTTTTGCTTTAGAGACAGTGTGCAATCGAGCTGGCAGTGAAAAAAGCCTAGAGAATAGATCAAATCCACCTAAGAGTGGTCCAAACATGAGTTTCAATGGAAGAGATAAGGAAAAGAAATCTGACCTTAACATAGTCAGTGTCACAAATTTGCTAAAATTTGAACAGTAACTTGTTACTTGTCATAATCTTTTTGTTTTAAATTTCTCAACATTCTAAAACTTTCTTTTTATTTCCAAGTTTAAATTAAAAATATACCACATTTTCAATGTGGTCTCAGAATTGTGGACCCCACTATATACACACACACACACATGCACACAATTTCATGATGAACAGAACAACAGAAATGATCCACAATTACCTGAAAAAAAGTAATTAAACGTTAAGAACATTTCTTCTTTGTTCTGAATATTTTTGAAAATTCCCTGACCACCAAAAAATGTAGCCCGATAGGGCCCAACTAATGATTATCCAGTCTGACTTTCATGAAAGCATCAGTTTTTGTCATTTAAATTGAAGGATTTCAAGAGCAGCCTTGACACTAACGTAAAAAGCATTACCTGTTCTGAGGCCTGAGTTTCTCCATAACTGTCCAGAAAGTTGCCCTGGATTACTGATCCCACTATTGTGAGACCCTTTCCTGCTTTCAGTTGTGATGCAAAGGTCAACATTCTGGGATATTTAACATGCAGATCTTCGTCCAGCTTCAGCAGCACAAGCAACTGTGGTCTACAAACAGCGTTACAATATTCCTGTCAATGCAATGCAGCAGTATACATTCCCTATTACTTAACCCCTTAAAATCCCAGGCTTATTACATGCTAAGACGTATTACTCAGTAACTACGAATGGACTACAATGCGAACTGGCTGAGCTATTCCTAGGTTAGGTTAGGTGTGGAAAAAGATCAAATAAACAAATCAAAAAGCATAAATACAGTTCAGCTTAAATGTAAGCTATCCCAAAAACAGTTTCTTATTTAAGGCAGAAAAGAAGCAAACCTCCAGTTTTTGGTGTGGGGTGGTCCAGCTTCCAAACGAAGGAGAGCATATCGAGCAGCGCTGAGAGACAGACCACGGATGCCATCGCCCCACTCCTTCTCTGCACTGAGGGATGAGAGCATTTTCCTTAGTGTTACTCCATTAAGCTCAGCAAAGTGTTTTCAAACTGTCTGTTGATCATCACTCACCCCTGATACTCAATGTACTTGTAGATCATGCCGGCGATGCCCATTGCTACAATGGCATAATACCAGGAGGAGATGAACATGAGAGCCAGGCACATACTCATTCCCAGGAAAGACAGAGCCCTAGGTGATAGACAGATGGACCACTGAGTTTAGTACTAACAAAACAGACAATGTTAAAGCTACATTATAATTAAGCAATAGAACACGAGGGAGTGTGCTATTGCGAAATAACATCACGGCTATGATTCTCGGCTAGTGATGTTATAGGCGATAACACACGACCTTGAGTGTTCTATTGCTTTTATACAACAGCTAAGTAGATAAAGTAAGAAATTAATGGATTGGCCCGTGAACGTGGCATTTAATATGTTTTAATGTTAACAACTCCTCCCGCCAAATTATAGTTCATAAACACGCAGCTTGTTGCTACATCAGAGTAACGGACTGCGCTCACTCGGCAGTTCATTCTCCACCTCCTAACACTAAATTCCGAAACTGTCATTACCAGTGAGCAAGCTTTTTTGTTTTTTTATTGCGGCAGTTTTATGGCTCAGTCCGATTTGCTCAGACTCTCAAGATGAGACTACACGTTTGGCGAATATTCGGTTCATTTCTGGCTGATCACAGGTTGTTTAGGTGTTGTACTGCTGCCGACTGAAAAGCTCAGTGGTAATGACAGTTACAGAATTTAGTGTAGTCTCATCTTCAGAGTCTGACCAAATCGGCTGTTGGTCAAATGTGATCTTAAAAGTATCCAAAGTAAGAAGTAAAAACGCTCAGTTGGCTTTAGCGTCTTCTACAGCTGTCAAACTCGTTGCGTAGCAGCAAAGTGATACAGCGGAGTGATACAGTGTTTGTGAAAAAAACGTGCTGTTATGGCGAAATAACAGCACGGTTAGAACGCTTCTCAACCAATCAGCTTGCGTGGCCAGAACTAACTGTTGTATAAATGGGAATAGTATATGTCGCTACAAAGTTGTAAGCAAGCCTACTTATTTTAGAACAAATGATAACACTCACTGTAGGGTAGTGTTCATAGGCTACATGATACCTATATATGCTCATCTTAACATATAAATGACCATCATGACCTATATATTTATAGAGGCTTCTTCCAGCAGGTGTAATCTGTCGTAAAGGTTGCTTTTGTGACCTTTAATGTCAAGTCAACATCACACCTACACCCCTTCTAATTATTTAGTCCATCACATTTATTGTTAACAGGATAAAATTAAGCACATTGTCATTCAGTTTCTATAGACAAACATTGGCAGTTGAATGGGTTGTACTGAAGAGCTCAGCGACTTTAAATTTCTGCCCGATTAGATCTGCAACAGTCAACTGTAAGTGCTATTATTGTGAAATGGACACTTTAGGAGCAGTTTAGCCACAAAGCGGTAGACCACATCATCTCACAGAGTGGGGCCACTGAGTACTGAAGTGAGTAGCATTTAAAATTCACTTAACATCTGTTGAATCACTCACTGCAGATAATGGTCTGGGCTGTTTTTCAGTGTTTGGGCTAGGCACTTTTGTTTCTGCAGTTCATTCTCAAAACAGATTTGCAAAACAAAAATGTACTGCAAAGCCTGCTCATCCTTTTAAAAACAAAATAAACATCTTGAGATGTATATTGAGAGGGATAGGTTGATGATGGCAGATTCCATTTCAAAACCCATGTTGGTTCTTTGCCATATAATTTTTAACATAACAAATGTACACTGTAAAAAATGCAACAGGGCAAATGTGGACATGTTTTTGAGATTGGAATTGATATAAAATATTGTTTTTGTTTATCTAAACCAATGGTCACCATTCCTCCTCCTGGAGCACTACTGTACCTATATGGCCAAAAGTATGTGCTAACAGATGTTCTCACTATATGGCACACTGATGAAAAAAATCTGAGTTTGGCGGATGCCATGAGAACGCTACCTAATGGAATGCATGACACCAGCAGAACTGTTTGGTGAAGGAGGGATAATGGTCTGGGGCTGTTTTTCTGGGTTTGGGTTTAGTTCCAGTGAAGGGTAATATTAATACTATAGCATACACAGATATTTTGAACAATTATATGCTTCCAACTTTGTGGCAACAGTTCAGGAACGGCCCTTTCCTGTTCCAGCATGACTGTAACCCTATGCACAAAGTGAGGTCCATAAAGACATGGTTTGATGAATTTGGTGTGGAGGGACTCCAGTTGTCTGCAGAGACCCCTGATTTTAACTCCACTGAATGCCTTTGGGATGAATCAGAACATCGACTGTAAGCCAGGCCTTCTTGTCCAACATCAGAGCCTCACAAATGCTCTTTTGAATAAATGGGCACATATTTCCACAGACACACTCCAAAATCTTGTGGAAAACCATCCCAGAGGAGTGGAGGCTGTTATAGTGGCGGGGGCAACTCCATATTGGAGTTTTGCAATGGGATGTCCAACAAGCTCATATATGTGATACTCAAGTGCTTTAGCCATACACTGCATTTCATGTGACAATGATTTTTTCTGACAGTGGGTTGTGTCACTACAAATTTTTAGGTGAAGTGATATTAACAACTGACTTTATACCTTAGCGTATATCACAGTGTCATAATGCTGATGATATAACTCACATCTTATAAATGGTAAAATGAGAGTATAGTGTAGCACGAAAGGCACAATACACTGCTTAAAATCTCTTTTATTCTTTTAATCAATCTTTATAGTTTCATTTATATACCTTTTCCTTCACACAGCCTTAACTAGTCTAAAGTGAACTACCCACAACTCAAACACAGGTCACGGATGCATCTGCCCACACATGCATGCAAAGGAACACTTACCAGTGGTAGTATTTAAACCTTGGTCTCCAGTTTGGGGTTCGCAGGAGAGTTTGTACAGCACATGCCAAGTTTACAAACAGGTAACACATCAGGAAAAACCTAGTAGGAGCACAGAAAATGAAAAATTGCAAAATAGTCTATGAAGAATATAAACAAAAACAAGACAGAATACACTCACTGCCACTTTATTATGTACATCTACCTTGAGTGTAGTCAGTAGGGATGTAACAATATATCATATTGCATTAAACTGGACTGTAGTGTATCGTATCATATTGTATTGTATTGTTTATCTTGACGAGTATATTAGTCAATATTAGACTGGCTGGAGTTCATATTCTGCACTTTTATAATGTGGAACACTATAGTGCTGTAATTCACTTTTTCAGCCACCCTTATTTGTGTTGTTTCGAAAACTATTGTATCGAATCAAATCAAATTCTGAATTTTGTGAATCGGTACATCTATTAGTTAGATTACAGACTTCATGCTACTGCAAAAACTTAAAATCAATCATTTGACCCTTAAACTAGACAAAGGCCTAAAATGTACCTAAAATTTATATATATAAAGCTATTTTGTGAAAATAAACTGGATGCTTTTAAACAAAAGTGCCATCCACTTAAAACAGATACATACATATCTGCGTCCTAATTATGTTATTAATACATTTAATATAGTAGTGGAATGCACAAGGCTACAAGGCTGAAGTTGGCTTTTTCCATGCTGCCTTAAATGGAACTGCAGTTACATTCTGGCACCTGTATACGTGACTGAATGTAATTTAAGGTGGAATGGGAACTTAAACTTTGTTGAATATCTCAAGTAGATACACATGCATTCCATATACTTATGCCTCAAACTTCAGACAGTGTTGGAATTTGCACCAGCTGGTCCACAGCTTGTTTCGCACACAAGGCCCCAGCTGTAACCTCATTTGATGCTGATTAAGTTAGGCAACTTCTCAGCGGTATGAGGGAGAACAGAAGTGCAGCATTTGCTGTGCTGGCTCTATTGTATGCTAGGCTAAACCCAAAAGGGTGTGCTTTATGTCCAATACCTTAACAAAAGCTAAACTACTTCAGTTGCAAAACACAGGACAGTGGGAGGTGATCAAGGGTCTGTTGCCTTTTTATATTTTCATTTGAAACGTGACTGAAACATCCATGACTCAGGCACTCAGCTAAATGGGATACACTGGCATGGTTTTCATTGTTTGAACATTGCATCATTTGCGCATACGAGTTATGACAAAACTCACACCTGAGGAACAATTTCGACTAGATGAACCGGTATTCTGCCTGCTACTGATTTAACCCCTTAAATGGCCAGGACCCACTAGCAGGCCCAACGTTTTATTACACACACTTATAACCTAGGAATAGCTCAACCAATTCACACTGAAGTCTCTGTAGTTACTAAATAATACGCCTTTATAATGTAATATGTAATAAGCCTTTAGAATGTAATAATCCTGGGATTTATAGGGGTTAATGCTGTTTTTTTTCCTTTGGTGCACATCTGAAATTTTAAACATACTTTCAAACCACTTAAAGTTTACACAAGAGCAGAAGAATACTATATGAAGGGGCAAAAAAATTGGACAATGGCCATATGAACAGGATCCAGAATGTGTGCACAAACCTGGGTGGGTAAGTACTTAGAAAGTGTGCATTTTGCATGTTTACATGTGAGTGCGTGTTTGTGTGAGTTCTCACATAGAGAGAATGGGAGCCACCATGTCTAGTGAGGCGATCAAAATGCCTAGCTCTGCTATGAGCCCAGTCAGCAGCAGTGCCCATGTAGGCTCACCATTTGCTTTACCATGTCCAAACACCTGGAGGGTTAAAACACACACACAGATAAACACAGATGAACACACAGATTATCATATTTAAAGAACAATGTTTTGCATACCAGCATGCAAACTTATCTATCTGTATCTATGGGATGTTCAATTTAAAAGCCAAAACTTTCCTGTTTTTAAACAACAGAGAGTCCTCATGCACATTCAACTGCTTTACATAAGTACTGGACATGCTGAAAGGACTTCTAGGATATGGGCATACAGACTGGAAGTACTGGAAGAATACTCTATAACAGGAACAGTGAGCATATTTTAGTGACCTGCTTCTGGCTGGTTCTGGCCTCTGGAATCTCGAGAGGCATGGCCATGCTGACGGCTGCACCAGGAGGATCATGGCAGGAGTGTGACCTCCAGAAAAGGGACTTTGTTGTTTGATTTTCCTCGGTTATGTGATATGTATTTATTGTGTAGTTCTGTGTGGTGGAGTGGGTTTACTACCCCGACACCGCAATATAAAAAGAATAAATGACGTTCCAATCTTAGTTTTTTTGTCATTCAGTTAATGATCATGTGAAAGTTGTTGATTATTGTTGGGAGGGGACTTACACGAAGGAAAGGAATAATGTTGTCTTTAGCGATAGCCTGCAGGAGGCGGGGAGCTCCGGTCAGGGACTGCAGTCCTGCTCCCACTGTGGAGAAGAAGGAGCCAATCACAATGACCCAAGGGGAGGGCCAAGAGAGCGTCCCAACTACCAGGTTTTTACTGACTGCATCTCCAAACCTACATGTGAAAAGCCATGTTTATGAAAGTATTCAAAAATATGTGCCATTTCTAATTGTGATGTAATAAAATGTTTGGCCACATCTTTAAATGAACACTTACTTGTCTCTGAGAACCACACCCTCAATACACGCCCCAAATAGGACCACAGAACTGAAATCTGACAACTTTAATTAAGGAATAAATGAGCTGTTTCAGTTGCTCTAGGCTGTTTGGAGTTGTTTTTAACATCACAAAGCGTTCACAGCAAGCTAAATCAACAATATAATTAAAGCACATTACAGTTTCAATTGCTGATCAGCATAAGCTTCTACACAGGCCGAAATTTCTAAATAAATTCCATTCATTTTGCTTATGCGGGGGATACAGACAAGAGAGGTGGTGGTAATGGCCAGTATTGTCCCAACAGGAATGGACTTCTGAGCATCCCTTAGATCTCCTGATCTGTTGGATCCAGCCATGATTCCTAAGGACAGTAAAGCAAAAAGTAAAGAAAATGTAAGCCATCAAATACACACAACAGCAGTTCCTTGGAGGCTAATCAAGAAATCTGATCAGCATTGATCAGAACATTGACATAAACTTGTTCAGCAATTTTTCCTTTTTGTTTTTTAGTCTGATGTTCAATAAGGGCGCAGGCATGCATGACAGAATTTTTATCTTGCTCGAATGAACAGCTGGCTGGGCATACCCGTTGCTGAGGGAAAGAAGATTCCGACGAGGAGAGTGAAGGAGGTGGCGATGTCTGCAGATACATAAAAACCGAAAGACTCCATGGAGCCATGGACATCTACAGAGGGCAGACTAGGTTTTTCCAGAATCTGTCCTTTCTCCAAGTAATCACCCCACATGTTCTCTGCAGTGAATACACAGTAGAAAAGATCACTCTAAAAATGTGAGACATTACATTATTATAATTCTTATTATTATAAGATTCAAACAATGCTAGCAGAAACAAACAAACAAACAGAGAATTGTAGTGGCCCCATTTATCACCAGACAAGCCCATCATGGAGATGATGATTTTAACACGGTTGATCATTCCTTCGTGTAAGTCCCATATCTCTGGCATTTATTCTGTCAAGCATTTTGGTATGTTCATATGAAAATATCTTTGCACATTATAGCAGTTGTTGAATAATTAAGTGTAGCCGGCAGGGCTGAAAGGCATTGTTTTTACGGGACTTGTATTTTGACAACCAAATCTCAGTTGTGGCATTCCTAGGATGCTTAAAGTCTCGCGTGACTAGAGTAAAGTAGCCTTTGGTCTCGTGCGTGGCAGCAGACAACGATGGGCTGTGAAAGTAAGCCAAAAACTTTTTTCTAAGTTGTGGAGGAGAAGTTGTATACTGCTTGGTGAAAGAGTGGAGATGGCAGCCAGGACACTGTAGTTACTGGCGACATAGGAGCTGTGTGTGTGGCATTTTCACGGTGTGCAGGTATGCTGTTTTCATTTGTAATGAGGTGTGGGGGGGCTAATAGCGTTGATGCTCTGTAACATAATGGGTAAATAGCATACTGGTAGCAATAGTAGAGAGAGTGGTTGTTTTCCAAGTTTTAGCTCAAATATTAAAGAGTAAGAGTGGTGTGCGTTTGGATGCTATCTTTTTATGGGTAATATTTGGCTAAAACTTGAAATATATGCTCCCTTCATGTTTACAAAGCATTGAGTATTTGTGTGCGGTGAGACAAAGGGAGATCAGGCATTGAGTGCAATTAGTGCTGTCATTTCATCAAGTACAAGCCTATTGAGTATATTTAGTTTTAAACTTTGGGCTCAGTCTATACAGAGCTAATTGTATGTTTTATCTGTATTACAGATTGAGCAGTACTGCTGGTGATGATGGTCACTGATTTTTTCCTCCTTAGCTTTTTCTCATTAGTGTCTCCTTTTAGTGTTTCCTCTTTGTTCGCTTGTTGTTTAGTTTTTAGACTGATCAGTGAGACTATAGGTGCCCTAGCCAGTTGCGCTTAAGGCTGTTTTAAATTAACAGCATACTGTCTAAGTAGGTTGGCTTTTCATCCCACTAATTAAGTTGGTGAGTCACAATTTGGAGTGAGTGTACTTCTTTGTGTGTATCTTTTTGGTTGTTTATTTATTTGATTACCCTTTCTTTTGTAGTGTATTTGTGATGTTGGTTTGTTTTTGCATATTGTATGGTTAGTAGTAGGGTGGGGCCTTACCTACAACATCAGGGTCTGTTCTCTTTTGAGCCATAGTTTAAGCTGCATTTTAAAGGTTACTTCCAACTTTTTTTTTTTTTGCAATAGTCAAGAGTTGTTAACGATTTTACATATAAATGTATAATTTTTTTTAAATTGTTGTTTGAATAATTAGTCTTACTACTATTTTAATTTATTGAGCTAATTGTTAAATAAAGCTGTCCAGTGTGTCAGGCTCATACCGTATTCTGTGTGCCTTATTGAGAAGTGATTGTGTTTTGGCTGTGGTAGAGTATTGCTCCAAAGTAGAAGTTGGGACCCTTTAGCACATAGGAGCTGTGATTAAGGCAACAGTGATTAAGACCACAGTTTTGGCATAATTGGCAGGATATGAGTGCTGATATAGGGATAAAGTAAGTACAAAGTCATTAGTGAGCGGCAAGTTGGGGACACCTAGTATTTTTTTTATTGGAGGGAGGAAAAACAGTGGTCATCATCAGAAGGTTCGTCACAACCATGGATGAAGTCAACAAGGATCGTCTTTGGGACGTGCTGCCGATTTTGTCCCGAGCTCTTTTTTACTTTTATAAGTGTTTCTTTTTAAAATTTTTAGGGGGTGTTTGTATTTTTTTTTTTTTCTTGGTACTCTATGTCTCTGACCATTTCTGATTTGGATGAACAGCTTAGGGCTCTGACAGAGCGTGTGCAACAATTACAAGCTGATAATGATCGATTAAGAGCCATAGAAGGGGTTAGTGTTGGTGCTAGTAATGCTGAGGCAGTTAGAGGTAGTGCCCTCCCTGAAACTGATCAAATTAAGTTTGGTCAATATGTGTATGTGCCAAGGGAAAGGAAATTCCCTAGGTTTTCTGGTAAACCCTCCGATTCATTAGCTGTGGAAGATTGGGTTGAGCAGATCCTTGGAAAGCCGTTACATGTCCCCAGAGGAACAGGCCTTGTTTATATATGAACATTTTAGATGTGGAAGCTAAAACCAAAAGTGATGCCATCTGATGGGTGGAAGAAGGGGAACATGTGGGTAATACAAGGGTCCGTGCATACTCCTGTGATGCCCAAATTGAGGTAGTGGGTGAGTGTAATCTTTCCAGTCAAGCTGTGGTAGCTAAACATGGTAATGAATTGTCTGAATTGAAAGAGTGCCTTCAAAAACAGCAGGCCCAATTAGATATGCTGCTAAAACATATTTTGCTTTGGGTAATAAGCAGCCACCGGTAGCTGGGGCACCTACAGTTCAACCTGCTCGAAAAAAACGTTATGATTCTGCTGGTAAGCCTGTTTGTTTTCTCTGTAATCAGTCTGGGCATATAGCGAGGTTCTGTCGAGCGGGTAGAGAGCTAGACTCAGTACCTAGGGGTTCTAGGTCTCAGGCCAGTCTGAGGGTAGAAAGGGTGGCTAGTACCTTGAGTTCCCTGAGTCACAGGGAAACTAGTTCCCTCTGGTGTGGAGAGCCAAGCATCAGACGGGGGTAGTGAAGGCTCCATGTTGCCCACTAATGGGTTGTCTAAACTAATGGGGGAGTGCCCTGTAGTGGAAGTGTGTATGGGAGGGGTTTCTGTTCCTTGATTACTAGACACAGGCTCTATGGTGACTACTGTCACTGAGGGATTTTTTTTTTTTAACCAGGATTTCCAGTCCTCCTCTTATCCTTTACAGAAATGTCGCTGGCTTCAGCTCAGAGCAGCCAGTGGATTAGAAATTCTGTATTTGGGGTATTTGGAGCTGGATATTCAAGTGTTGGGTAGGACTTTACCAGGGATGGGTAATTTGGTGGTCAGGGACCCTAATGACCCCCATACTAAAGCCAAAAGGATAGGGTGCCTGGTTTGGTGGGCATGAATGTGATTAGCCAGTGCTACGATGAGCTGTTCCAGTGACATGGCTCTGATTTGTTTCAGGCCCCACCTCTGCAGTCAGCGGGGAGTGTCTGGAAACAAGTTTTTAAGGAATGTCACCAGTTAGACTGTTTGCCACCTACTGGTTGCTTGGGGTCCGTTAAGGTGGCAGGATGGACAGCTGTGCATATTCCTGCAGGTTCAGTTAAACTAGTCAAAGCGGTTGGCAACCAACATTTAGGGTCTTCTGTGCTTTCGGTATTGCTTGAGCCAGTGAACAGCAGGCTGCCATTTTGCTGTTTAGAGCCTATCTCTCCATTAACAGGGGACAGGTTTATGTGCCAGTTGTTAATGTTGAGACCAGAGATCTGTGGCTACCTCCTCATACTGTGTTGGGAAGCCTATTTTGTGCAGAACTTCAAATAAATAGTCAAGTGGTCACATTTGAGGAGAGGATAGAAAGTCAAGGGTGTGTTGCAGTCATCCAGTCACTACATACAGAAGGCCAGTTACTGGATTTGGGTAGTCTTTAATGGCCTACATTGTCCCCTGCTCAAGTAGAAAAGGCTAAGGCTTTGCTTCAGCAGTATAGTGCAGTTTTTAGCCAGAGTGAGGGTGACTTGGGGTGTACAGATTTAGTACATCATAAGATCTCTTTGATTGATGATGCCCCTGTCCGTCAGCGTTACCGCCACCTTTCACCCTCACAGTATGAACAGGTCAAAGTGCACATTCAAGAGCTGCTAGAGAGAAAAGTTGTGCGGGTGAGCTGTAGTCCTTATCCCTCTCCGATCGTTGTGGTGCGGAAGAAAGATGGCACCATATAATTGTGCGTAGATTATAGACAGTTAAACACAAAGATGAGGAAGGATGCATACCCCTTACCACGGATTGAGGAATCACTGGATGCATTGGCGGGAGCTCTTCATGACAATCATGGTCATCAGGGGTGTGAACGAACAACATATCTGGTGTGGCAGAGATGTTATTGGCCCCAGATGAGAAGAGATATTGAACAGTGATGTCAGCAGTGCTCTCACTGTGTGACTGCCAAAGCTGTGCTTCCCAAGGTGCGGACCTTTGCTGGTAGTCTGCTGGCTTCAAGGCCCTTAGAAATTGTAGCCATTGACTTCACTGTCCTCGAATGAGCAAGTGATGGTCGAGAGAATGTTCTTGTGGTTACAGATGTCTTCTCCAAGTTCACACAGTCATACCCTACCTTGGATCAAAAGGCGAGCACTGTGGTACGTATTTTGACTGAAGTGGTTTTATGTTTATGGGATCCCTCAACGGCTCTATTCAGATCAAGGCCACTGTTTTGAAGGGGAGATGTTGAAGGCACCGTGCAAGGTGTATGGGACTGAAGAGTCAGACCACTCCATATCACCTGGAAGGCAATGGGCACTGTGAAAGGTTTAATTGCACCATGCATGATCTCTTGCGAATGCTGCCAGCAGATAAAAAATGAAGATGGCCCCAGTGTTTACCACAGTTAATCTTTGCCTATAATACAACAGTGTGTCAATCAACAGGCCACTCCCCCTATGAGCTGATGTTTGGCTGAAAGCCACGCCCACCTATTGATGCGCTCTTGGGTGTTCAGGAAGAGGAGAGGGGGAAGGAACGGTAGGAGACTGGGTGAGCGAACAACAGGAGTTCCTCCAATTTGCCTTTGCTAGTGCAGAGCGTCAACTGATAACGGCAGCAGCACAGCGTGCTCAACGACAGCCTACAGAGGTTGCCCCTGTACTCTCAGCTGGTCCTGTGGTTTATACAAGAAACCATGTTCAGATCAGGTGGTGAAGTGTCTGGATGGAGGAGGATGAGTGTATACCATCTGCCCAGTGGGGAGTCTGGGTCCTGAACGAAACCTTCACAGGACAGAACTGAGGGTGGTTCCCAAACAGGCTGCTTTTCTTCCAGTTGACAATCTGCGAAAAGATTGTAAGTCTCCAGAAACGGGTGACCAGTCACACCAAGATTGTAGTAGTGAGGAGGAAGAGGAGGTCTGGTCAGTGGGTGGTGAGACAGGAGGTAACCTTTGAACCTATAGTGGACTCTCAACAGCAGGAACCAGAGTTGGTTCCCTCATTGCAATCGGTATTGCCACCGCCAAGGCATTCAGCACGGAAGACTGCAGGCAAACATTCTAATCTACATAATCTTCCTTGTTCAGTGGCTCCCCAGCAGGAGGTGGGGGGGCGGCTGCAGCTCAGCCTGCTTTAAATGTGGTGCATTGTTATTTTAGACCCTGGTAATAGTCCATGTTTTGTCTCCAGGACTGTGACCTGTCAAAGTGGGGGTGGATGTAGCCGGCAGGGCTGAAAGGCGTTGTTTTAGGGGACTTGTATTTTGACCACCAAATCTCAGTTGTGGCATTCCTAGAATGACTAGAGTAAAGTAGTGTTTGGTCTCGTGCATGGCAGCAGACAACGATGGGCTGTGAAAGTAAGCCAAAAACTTTTTTCTAAGTTGTGGAGGAGAAGTTGTATACAGCTTGGTGAAAGAGTGGAGATGGCAGCCAGGACACTGTAGTTACTGGCAACATAGGAGCTGTGTGTGTGGCATTTTCACGGTGTGCAGGTATGCTGTTTTCATTTGTAATGAGGTGTGGGGGGGCTAATAGCATTGATGCTCTGTAACATAATGGGTAAATAGCATACTGGTAGCAATAGTAGAGAGAGTGGTTGTTTTCCAAGTTTTAGCTCAAATATTAAAGAGTTTTTTTTTTTTTTTTTAAGAGTGGTGTGCGTTTGGATGCTATCTTTTTATGGGTAATATTTGGCTAAAACTTGAAATATATGCTCCCTTCATGTTTACAAAGCATTGAGTATTTGTGTGCGGTGAGACAAAGGGAGATCAGGCATTGAGTGCAATTAGTGCTGTCATTTCATCAAGTACAAGCCTATTGAGTATATTTAGTTTTAAACTTTGGGCTCAGTCTATACAGAGCTAATTGTATGTTTTATCTGTATTACAGATTGAGCAGTACTGCTGGTGATGATGGTCACTGATTTTTTCCTCCTTAGCTTTTTCTCATTAGTGTCTCCTTTTAGTGTTTCCTCTTTGTTCGCTTGTTGTTTAGTTTTTAGACTGATCAGTGAGACTATAGGTGCCCTAGCCAGTTGCGCTTAAGGCTGTTTTAAATTAACAGCATACTGTCTAAGTAGGTTGGCTTTTCATCCCACTAATTAAGTTGGTGAGTCACAATTTGGAGTGAGTGTACTTCTTTGTGTGTATCTTTTTGGTTGTTTATTTATTTGATTACCCTTTCTTTTGTAGTGTATTTGTGATGTTGGTTTGTTTTTGCATATTGTATGGTTAGTAGTAGGGTGGGGCCTTACCTACAACATCAGGGTCTGTTCTCTTTTGAGCCATAGTTTAAGCTGCTTTTAAAAGGTTACTTCCAACTGCAATAGTCAAGAGTTGTTAACGATTTTACATATAAATGTATAATTTTTTTTTAAATTGTTGTTTGAATAATTAGTCTTACTACTATTTTAATTTATTGAGCTAATTGTTAAATAAAGCTGTCCAGTGTGTCAGGCTCATACCGTATTCTGTGTGCCTTATTGAGAAGTGATTGTGTTTTGGCTGTGGTAGAGTATTGCTCCAAAGTAGAAGTTGGGACCCTTTAGCACATAGGGGCTGTTGCCAACAGTGATTAAGGGCACATACGCAGTTGTGAATACTTGGATTGTGAGAAGAAAATTCAGCCAACTTTTAAGAGTGAACTTTGTAAGTGTGAACAAATCCCCCTACATATTTCTTTGAAAAACGGGAGGCAAGTCTCTTGTAAAGAATGGAAGCTGTAGTAAAGTCAAAGGTTGAAAATGTACATTATATTTAGTTGCTGAGACTTTAGTGTAACTTTCTGTAAAATTTATTTTCTGTTTTGACAGTAAAAATAAATCAATGAAAGGGTGGTCTTTCTTTTGAACAGTACTACAATTCAGACAACAGTGTGTTCACTTCTCTACCTCTGATAATTCCACTGGCCAGTCCAGGAATGCCCTGGATCTCGGTTACGTTGTTTTGGGCAAAGTACTCATCACAGTGAGCACTGCTAGCGTTCTCTGAGACGCAGAAGTTCCTCCACAGCTTGCTGGGGACTGTCTCATTCCCCTTAACTTCCATCTTCTGACACACTTCAAAAAGATCCCGCACTAATGTCCTGTTCCCCAGCATACAGATACTGCAACGGAGGCGCCACAAACAATGAACAAGGACAAAAACATTTGCAAGAGCAGCATATTGATTTGTGTTGCAGCATTTTCAGCATGACAGCATGTTGCTCACAAGGGACGCAAGGACAAATATAGCAGAGTTCACAATTAAGAAACATGCAAACATCAAGCAATAACAAGAAGTCAGTTCACTGCAAAGCAGTTTCATTCTTAAATACCTTGAGTTATTTCATCGAATCAGTTGTGAACTACAGGATCATTATTAGCACATTATCCTTGGGCTACGTTGTACTTAATTTTACACTATGTGCATGTGTGCACACAGCTGCTACACAAACAGCATTGTTTACATACTGATTTGCATACAGTTTGAGAGATTAAAAGCTACAACCAGTGACGAGCAGGTCAGAGCCAAAATATCTCTAGACGGCACCGAAAAACCTTCCATGACTACTAACTTTCGGGAGTAACTGATATTAGCAAATATTGTGATAATAAATAAATTCATCAGGTCACAATGATTTCTGAGCTAATTCTGCTGCTGAAGTCCACATGTGTGCTCTCTTGGACCAAGGGCTAATATAATAAACTTCACTTGAGCTAATTAAGTAATGGAATGTCTGTTAAAATGGTGTCTGGTATTCCCCGAGGGGAAATAGCAAGGTCAAGTGGACAAGGCCATGTTAAAACCAGTATTGAAACAGGTGGCTACTCTTTGATAGAGAGTAAAACAGATGGCATTTTGGCAATATTTTATTGTCAATTTTTTGTTACATGCGGTCGGTGCAGAATATAGTATTCATATCTAGCCAACTTGCAAATGTGCATGCCTAGTTAAAATCAAGCATAATTCAGCCCTGAAAAAAAACATGTATTGGCTCAAGGAGGAGGCTATAAATATCCCAACTGAACCTTCCTTATATCCTGTTTAAAAGGTAAGTGTGCATGAACTTACGGGAAATCCGGAGGGTGGAAAATAGATTTTATTGCCCCAGCATAGATGGAAACAATGGAGATGATGACACAGGCTAGGAAGAGGGAGGCAAACTTGTTCACGTACTTCACCCCTACAAACACCACGACAGCCATGAGACTCAGGCAGATGGTCCCATAGACTCTCATGTTGTTCAGCATGGCGCTGCTTCCTGCATGGATATCTACAGTGTGGAAAATGGCTGCCTGAGGCACCAGATATTTCTGTGGATGAGAAGTGTTGCGGGTTACAGAATATATTATCTGAATACTAAAAATCATCTTATAATTCAGTACATCAGCTCAGTACATGAACCATGGGTCGGTATAGTGGACAAGACTTCAGCTTCGTCCTTAAATACAAGTTATTCTGAATGGAAATTCTTCATTGAAAGAAAAAGGTAGTCCAGGACCAGACTTAATCCCTGACTTTGAAACTGACCCTTTATGTTGAAAATTATCCAGACATGCCTCCTAATTAGTGACTTTAAGGTGCACCCATTGCTGACACAGGCAATCAGTTGCCCACAGAGCTTGCATAATCTCTTTAGAAAACCACTAGATAGTGGTTAGGTAGCCAATAGAATGAGATGCTCTGGATCAGCAGCACACAAGTCTAAGATAACCATGCCCAATGCCATTCATCCGGACTAGAACCCCAGCATTGGGGTTTGGAGCAGTGGAACTGTGCTATCTGGAGTGATGGAGCACCTTCCAATACTTTTGGGATGAGCTGGAGTGATCCAGAACCAATCATCCAACATCAGTACCTGATCTCATTGTGTTCAGACACACAAGCATTAGTCACATTCTCACAACAGTGTTCCAACATCTTGTCTAAAGCTGTCTCTTACAGAAAAGTCACATATATTTTACACGTGAAGTGCAAAAACCATGTGTTTACACGTGATTTTTTTTTTTTTAGCACGTGAAGTGTGCAAAAATATGTTTTATTCACATGTGAAATTCATATGACTTTTCTGTAAGGGTTCCCAGAAAAGTAGAAGCTGTTAGTGCAGAAAAGGGCGAACAAACTCCCAAACAAAGAGCAGGTGTCCACAAACTTGTGGACATATAGTGCAGTTTGCTTGCAAAACTACTATCTTGACTACATAGGAAATAGTTTATTGTGAGTTTTTCTTATGGAAAAAAGAATAGGATGGATCTGGCTCACCAGAAATATTTCTATGGCACCCAGGATGTACATAGCAGCAGCAAAGGTTGTGCCCAAGTAGAAACAAAGACCCACAGCGCCTCCAAATTCAGGCCCCAGAGATCGCGAAATCATAAAGTATGCTCCCCCAGCTGTAAAAACACACACAAATATCAGCACTGATAACTGCAAAACAGGAAACAATCACTATGACAAAGTGGCTGTTAAGTATGTTTACATGAAGGTAAGTAGGTCTATGTGTATTATCTGCACAAAGTTAAAAAAAAAGTTTAGTTCCAACTTGCCCCACCAGTAACAGAGAAAACATGGTCTTTCATGTTAGTACTTGCAATGCCTCAGTATGAGTTGATAGAAATTAGGTGATTCTCAAAGAAAGCTGGCTTGGGAGATTACCTGGGACAACACCGTTGGTAGCAATTGCGCTCATTGATATTGCTGTGAGCATTGTCTGTAAACCAATATGAAAGTCATGTTCATTAGTCATTGAGGTTTCCAGGCTTGTGAATTGTAAGACAAGATTAGTACCATTTCTAAAGCAGAGTACAAGCTGACAACATCCAGATATATAGCCATTATTAATACTGTAATTTACAGTTAAGATGAATACGCTGATATGTAAATGAGGTTCTGATGTTATGTTAGCAGCCAGACTAAAGTCTCAAGATCTGCAGTCCTCCTTTCTTTGCCATGTCTAATGCCAAGGCAATACATCTTCTGCAGTTTCTCAAAACATGTATACACAACTAAAATGCACTGCAAAGCATGCACATCCTTTTATAAACAAAATAAATATCTTAAGATTAGTATATTGATACGGATAGGTTGAGGTTGGTAATGATTGCAGATTCCACTTCAAACCCAAATTCAAGTTGGTTCCTTGCCATATTACTTTTTTACTGAACAAATCTATTTTTTTGAACTGATGTAGAATATTGCTTTTGTTTGTCTAAACCAAGGGTCACCATCCCTCTTCCTGGAGAGCTACATATATGGCCAAAAGTATGTGGACACACCATCCTAATTATTGAGTTCAGGAGTTTCAACCATGCTAATTGCTATCATATGTATTCACTGTCTAGCAGTCTGATGAACACATCTGGATTTGGCAGATGCCAGGAGAATGCTACCAACTGGAATGCATAGCACTAACAGTAAAGTTTGGTGGAGGAGGGATAATGGTCCAGGACTGTTGTTTGGCTTGCACAGAGCCCTGATCTTAAAAACACTTTTGTGTGTACTGGAATGTCAGTTGTGAGACAGCACTCCAACATCAGTGCCTGACCTCAGTGCTCTTTGGACTGAATGCATAAATTTCCACAGACACATAGAAGACAGAATATGGAGGCCGTTGTAGCCACAGAGGGGGCACTAACTCCGTATTAATGCCTATTTTTGGCATAGGATGTCTAACAAGCTCATATAGATGTGATGGTCAGATGTCCACATACTTTTGGCCAAATAATGTAGTTTCCTGAAGAGTTTTGTTTTCACATGCTGCTCCCCCTTACCTAACACTAAGGGTAATGAGCTGGAGCAGGCATGGCAGATTGTGGTTGGAAGTAAACACTGCACGAAGGAAGATGTCTAAGGCCAGGATTGGTGACTGCTGTTTTAAACTAACAAATTGTATTATTTCATTTAATTATTTTAGTTGAATAGACTAGTCAAATTACTTGTTACGACATGAAATTCTTTTTTTTAAGTCGAACGGACAAACCGTTTTCACAGTGTAGGTCTTATATCCCTGATAATCAATGTATTTGTGTAAAACAGACCTATGTCGGAGTTAATGCTGTATTTAGTGTCTTTCTGGTAGGCTAGTATTTTAGCTGTGATAAGGTTTCTTAAATCCTGGACCGTTGTTGCTGCATGTCCTACTTTTGGCTATACTTGTCTATTAGGAGGCTGTCTTACACATAGTAAGCTGGTGTGTGTGTGTGTGTGTGTGTGTGTGTGTGTGTGTGTGTGCACATAATACAAAATCAACTCACACAGGAACAGCACATAAGGACTATGAGGAAAGACTGCACAACTCCTGCTGTGCCTACAATCCAGGTGAGACGCAGGAAAAGAATGACTCCAAATATATTCTGCAGACAGGGCAGGTAAACTCCCATCAGTGTCCCCATGTTCGGAGACTAGACAAAGAGAGAAGAAAGAGCAAGATCAGATCTGATAATAACTGTTGCCTGAACGTGCATTCTCACACAGGAAAACTGAAACTTCTCCGTTTCAGTTTATCAGTATTAGTCTAAAGATATGTGTAAATATGAGGATTACAGTGACGTTTCTTTCAAACAGATGTCTATGACAGTTTAATTACAACAGTCATCAATTTAATCAGTCAATTCCTCTCAGTTTTTCCCTTATTTAGTCATGTTAATGTCTCCCCCCAAACAAATGATACTACTAGCGCGGGAGGGTGAAGGGTAGTACAAGTTTCCTCTGAATGTGAATGCATCCTTTCATATCGCTGCTAACAAGAGTCCTAAGATCTATAGTCACAAAATTGCATTATTCATATGCCTTTTATATGTATGAAATGTTTAAATGACATTAGTTAGAACTGCACTATGTAAGATTTAGGGATTTGGAAATGTTCCTGGTGGAAATATGTAATTGCATGCAACATGCAAAGAAATCGCAGCAGAGCACAGAGACCATATTTTAGTGTGTTTTTTGTCTCCTGACTAACTAATGCTACTTCTTTCAAAAACCTTACATAGTGCCACTTTAACAATTTTTAAACTTAATATGGTCACATTATAGCTTAACTATAACCTAAAGCCCTCATATTTTATTTATAATTGTTGTTTTTTAACTTATGAAATGTATTTAACTCATTTATTGTAAGTAGAAGTTGATATAATTTTTTTTTCAAACCTTTGGGATTTTCCTCTTAGACGCATCTGCACTTTCTGCCTCTTCATGTTCCTTTGCGCCCTGAGTAATATTTGTGTAGTTGACCAAGCGGCTAAGAAAGGAAGACACCTTGGGCCGAATGTCCAACTCCTCCTGTAGGAAAAGTTCCATAAAAAGAATTATTTGTAGTACAGTGGTGAGAAGAAAGAAGGAACAGATACTTCAGAACAATGCAAACAAACGTTTGAGATGAACAACTTCTAATCTTTTTAAACATATAGTAGAAAACATTCCTGCTTTTGAGCACTTAGATCACTTGAGGCTGTCTTTTGGTGAGGAAGTTCATTCAGTCCTTGAGCAGAGAATAAACCTACAGAAATATACTAGATTACTGACGAAGTTCAAAAAGTGAAAAACCTCAAACAAGGCCAGATTCTTGTCATAGTAGTCATTCCTCTTTGACGAGTCTGTAGTGTTGAGGAAAGGACTGTCTTCTTTATGATTGCCATGTCCTGGGGGGTGAAAGAAGGAGAATGAGATGGTGAGACAGATTAGATAAGGATTAACTCACAAATATCGATGACAAAATCTACTTTCCATTTCACAACAAATGGACATGTTTTACTTTAAACCATCAGGTACGCATATTCAACAGTACAGTGCAAAGCAAAATTATACCATATAACATACTACTGTATAACTATAGGGTAAAATATTAATCATACATGCTATGCTGTACTCTTCATAATAAGCTTTACAAATAATGAAAATGTTTAGTTTACTGCAATTCAACTAATATCATCATCATCATCATCATCATCATCATCATCATCGTTAACCGCTTAGTCCAGATAGGGTCGCGGTAGCAGTTGGGAGAGCAGAGAATCCCAGGTGACCCTGTCCCCCGCAACTTCCTCCAGCTCATTCCCGGGGACCCCAAGCCGCTCCCAGGCTAACTTGGAGATATAATCCCTCCAGCGGGTCCTAGGACGACCCCGGGGTCTTATTCCGGTAGGCCGTGCCTGGTACACCCCCACCGGGAGGCGTCCCGGGGGCATCCGGATCAGATGCCCGAACCACCTCAGCTGGCTCCTCTCAATGCGGAGGAGTAGCGGCTCTACTCCGAGCTCCTCCCGGATGGCCGAGCTCCTCACCCTATCAAATAGAGTGTAGCCCGCCACCCTGCGAAGAAAGCTCATTTCTGCCGCTTGTATTCGCGATCTCATTCTTTCGGTCATTACCCACAGCTCATGACCATAGGTGAGGGTCGGGATGTAGACTGATCGGTAAACAGAGAGCTTCGCCTTACGGCTCAGCTCCCTCTTCACCACTACAGTCCGGTACAGCGACCGCATTACTGCTGCCGCTTGTCCCAGCCTGCGGTCGATCTCACGATCCTTCTTCCCATCACTCGTGAACAAGACCCCGAGATACTTAAACTCCTCCACCTGGGGCAGGTCCTTTCCCCCTACCTGGAGTGGGCATACCATCCTTTTCCGGGCTAAGACCATGGACTCAGACTTGGAGGTGCTGATCCGCATACCAACCGCTTCACACTCAGCTGCAAACCGCTCCAGTGTGCGCTGGAGGCATCCATGTGATCCAGCCAAAAGAACAACATCATCTGCAAATAGCAGAGACGCCACCCTCCGGCCTCCACACATAATGCCCTCCTGACCCCGGCTACGCCTTGACACCCTGTCCATGAATATCACAAACAGGAGTGGAGACAGGGCACAACCCTGGCGGAGTCCAACGCTAACACTGAAAGAGTCCGACTTAATGCCGAGTATACGAACACAGCTCTCACTCCGGGCGTACAGAGATTGAATGGCCCCGGCACCCCATACTCCCGGAGGACCTCCCACAAGATATCTCGGGGAACACGGTCGTAAGCCTTCTCCAAATCCACAAAACACATGTAGACTGGGTTGGCAAACTCCCATGCCCCCTCAACAATCCGTGAGAGGGTGAAAAGCTGGTCCATTGTTCCACGGCCGGGACGGAATCCGCATTGTTCCTCCTCAATCTGAGGTTCAACTATCGGCCGAAGTCTCCTTTCCAGCACCTTGGCATAGACTTTCCCAGGGAGGCTGAGCAGTGTGATACCCCGATAGTTGGCACACACCCTCCGGTCCCCTTTCTTGAAAATAGGGACCACCACCCCAGTCTGCCAGTCCAAGGGTACTGTGCCCGAGGTCCATGCACTATTGCAGAGGCGTGTCAGCCACGACAGCCCCACAATATCCAGAGCCTTAAGCATCTCCGGACGAATCTCATCCACCCCCGGTGCCTTGCCACTGAAGAGCTTGCCAACTACCTCAGTGACCTCCACCAGGGAAATGGAGCTTGACAAGCCAGAGGCCTCTGGCCCTGACTCCCGTGAGGGAGGCATGTCACCCGGATTAAGGAGTTCCTCAAAGTGCTCTTTCCACCGACCGACAATATCCTCATTTGAAGTCAGAGTTTCTCCACCCCTGCTGAATACAGCCTGGGCGCAGTCACCCCGACCACTCCTGAGTCGCCGGACAGTTGTCCAGAACCTCCTCGAGGCCGACCGAAAGTCTTTTTCCATGGCCTCACCAAACTCCTCCCACGCCCTGGATTTTGCTTCTGCCACAGTTGCAGCTGCCACCTTTTTTGCATGTCGGTACCTATCTGCTGAATCGGGAGTCCTTCGGGCCATCCAGTCCCTAAAGGCCTCTTTCTTCAGCTTGACGGCCTCCCTCACCACCGGTGTCCACCAGGGGGTTCTTGGGTTACCGCCATGACAGGCACCGACAAGCTTTTGGCCACAGCTGCGCCTGGCAGCTTCCACAATGGAGGTTTTGAACAGGGTCCATTCAGACTCTATGTCCCCTACCTCCTCCGGGACATGAGAAAAGCTCTCCCGGAGGTGGGAGTTAAAATCATTCCGAACAGGGGCCTCCGACAGTCGTTCCCAGCACACCCTCACTATTCGCTTGGGCCTACCGGGTCTAACCCTCAGTCTTCCCTGCCATCTGATCCAACTCACCACCAGATGGTGATCAGTTGACAGCTCAGCACCTCTCTTCACCCGAGTGTCCAGAACATATGGTCCCAAGTCAGATGAAACGACAACAAAGTCGATCATTGACCTTTGACCCAAGGAGCTCTGGTACCATGTACACTTATGAACATCCTTGTGTTCGAACTTGGTGTTCGTTATGGACAATCCATGCCTGGCACAGAAGTCCAATAACAATTCACCATTCGGGTTTAGATCGGGCAGGCCGTTCTTCCCAATCACGCCTCTCCAGGTCTCCCAGTCATTGCCAACATGAGCATTGAAGTCTCCCAGTAAGACTATGGAGTCTGTAGTTGGGACCCTTTCCAGAACCCCGCCCACTTGCTCCAAGAAGGCCGAATACTCCGACCTGTTGTTTGGTGCATAAGCACACACAACAGTCAGAGTTTTCCTCTCTGCGATTTTAATACGCATTGAGGCGACCCTCTCGTCCACCGGGACAAACTCCAACTGTACTGCCGCCAGCCGGGGACTCGTGAGTATCCCCACACCCGCCCGGTGCCTCTCACCTTGTGCAACCCCGGAGTAGGAGAGGGACCAACCCCTATCCAGGAGTTTGGTTCCAGAGCCGATACTGTGGGTGGAGGTGAGCCCAACTATATCTAGTTGGTACTTCTCAACCTCCCGCACAAGCTCCGGCTCCTTCCCCCCCAGTGAGGTTACGTTCCACGTACCAAGAGCCAGTTTCTGCCGCAGGGGCCTAGGCCACCAAGGGCCCCCCTGCAATCTCCCACTGCCTGTACGGCACTGCACCACTCCCCCATGCTGGACCTTGCGGGTGGTGGGCCCACATGGTCCCCCCACGTTGCCTCTTCGGGCTGAGCCCGGCCGGGTTACGTGGGCTGCCCGGCCACCAGGCGCTCGCCGAGGGACGCTACCCCCAGGCCTGGCTCCAGGGGTAGGTCCCGGTGACCCTCTCCCGGGCAGGGTACACGATGTTTTGCGTCCGTTTTTCATGGAGGTTTTTGGATCGAGTTAGTCTGGGTCTTCACTCCAGACCTGTTCGCCCTGGGAGACCCTACCAGGAGCATGTTGCTCCCGACGACTTAGCTCTGAAGATCCCTAGACCACACAAGCCCTTCCGCCACGACAAGGCCCCGATCCAGGAACTAATATTCTTTTTTAAAAACCACAAATAGACAAGTAACGGTGCATTTGTCTAAATCAGGCATGTCAAACTGGAGACATTCCGGGCCAAAATGCCATGGAGATTAGCATTTGCCCTCATCTAACACTCCAAATTCAGTTTATAATTAGCTGATTAGCTGAATCAGGAGTGTTCAATGAGGCAGTGTACTGAGACCTGCAGTGATGTAGCCCGCAAGGACTGGAGCCTGATGTGTTGTCTAAGCAATAGAATATTCACTTAATCATTGTAACAATAACAAATTCAGTGTTACTGCCAATGCTGAATAAGTTAACTACATTTACTAGCTAGTTAAACTAAGTTATTCTACTAGTGTATAGTAGGGGATGCATAGATTAGTCGACTAATAAATCCACTAGTCGGCGATATTGTATTTATTGTATCAGTGGTAAAAACCGCCCTGAAAAAGCAGGAGGACACAAAGCCCAAAGTCCTTAAGGTGGAAATACTACATGAAATGAAACCAAGTCCACTGCAAACTGCGTAAGGTTGCGCTGATATACAGGTTTGAGAGCCAAACTGTGTAGGTTTAAAGAACCGTGAGAGGAAATTGCCGTTTGACTGGCATACTAACCATCCAACCACAGACCATTCGACGGCACAATGAAAATTAACTCGAGTCGTGGCAAGTTCTCTGGGGGTAACGTACGATGATATCTCGTTGCTATTTACACTTTCAAACACAATTCATGAATAACATTTTAAAATGGGATATCATTAATGTTTCCTGGTTTAGCGTTTAAGCCTATAGCTACCTCGCTCTGAAATTACTAGTGAGTGGAGATGAAACTTCTTGCTACTGCCATTTAGCTTGATTAACAATCGTTTGTTTCCTATCGGACAGTCCACGGACCAGAGCTAGTTTAAATTCTCCATCAGTGTTCTCAGATTGGGCGGGTTCTTGCCAAACCCATGAGCCCTTTCTTTTCTAAGGGTGATTCATGTAATTAAATAACGTGAAAACAGTTGTTTGTGTTTGACTAATGCATGAAATAAAATAAATAAATAAATAATAAAATCGCTGACATTCATTTGCCTTAAAGTTATGCAGCCCAAACTATACAGCCTAATTAACTTATTGTACTTGATGGATGTAAAAGAGCAAAAGCACTGGTAGAATATGAGCAAGGAACTTGGAATGGTCCGTGATCTGCAGAGGTTAGCAAGTTTTACAAATATGTAGGAGGAATAGTTATGCTTGAAATGTTATTGCCATTCATTTGCCTTTCTGATTGCCTGGGATCATGTCTTATTTTCAAAAGAAAATATTTCCCAAAAGGTTAATACATTAGTGAGTTTGTGTGAGTTATACAACT